TACTTATAGATGTTTACTTTATAACCATATTGTAATATTTTACTTTATTGTAAAACGCTGTCAACATGACAATTTGCAACAGACTTCCTCAAAAAACCATTCTAGTGCAATTTTTATAAATGTGCTATGCACGTATAATAAAACAAATGATAAGAAACTGGACGGTATATTATCAGTATCCCCGACGTCAGTTCTTAAAGCTTAAGTACTCGTGATGTGTCATACAATTCACAAGTAATAATTAAGTACACTGAACAACATAATCAATGGATTAGTTTGTCAGTATGATGTATGCAATTAGGTGTAGGAAATAATAAAAAAAGTTTTTCCATAAAATATTGATAGATATTTACTCTATATAAAAAAATGTATACATTTCATCTATAATCTAAATATGGTAAACAAATCGTTTCGTGTTCTGTGCTAGCGTACTTTGGTTCAAATATGTAATCGAATACCAAAATAATGGTATTAAGGCTTCCTTACTAAAAAAAAAATATATATATTTATATGTATTTCTATATGAAACCAAAAACGTTGTATTTTACTTTTTATCGGCTTTGAGAATTCCAGTCAATAATATTCGGCTATAGGCCTTCGCTGATCGTTATTATAGGTATAAACGCTGTACAAAGGTAGGTATGATAATATTATGTATTGCTTCTACATATAGTATTTGTGGACGTGTGCACGTGTATATCATTTGGACAACAGTAGCATCAGACACTGCTGTTATAGAGTAGTTGTTTTAATAGCCGGCCAATATAGAGAATTTGACGTCGAATCCATTTAATTCCAACCGAGCTAGTGGCATTATGTATAATAATGTGTAATAGTAGTAATTGTGTGAGTGCGTCGCAACCGAGTATTTTTACATATGTAATGACACACACAGACGTTATAATATAGCCGATATCCAATCCTACAATGATTACACACCGTGTATACATGCTAACAGAATATCTAATGTTTTTTTAGACCAACGATAATAACAAACGTCTGCTGCAACAAAATTAAAGTCTATAGCTGTGGCGCGCTTATAATTTTGGGTTATCGGTCCGCATTATACCGTCTTCGGGCTTTGTTCGATCATTTAATCATATATCTATATATGTCGTTGTCTACGGTAGCTAATAGCCGCAATACACATGTCCAGAGGAAAATCTATACTATATTCCAATTAAATGCACACGAGGCGATATTGTGGCAACATCATCTTCACGCCCATTTGGATCATAGAGATGAAACGATTCAAAAACGATTTCCCATTTAGCAGCCCGCAAGTCATAAATATTCTGACTGTATAATATATTATAGTGCCAAAGTCGTATGGTGCTCTTTGAATGTGTTAGGCTCTAGCACCGCAGGACAAAAAACCTTGACAATGTTTTCAAACTTTTCAGAATTAGCTTTCAAAAATAGTATAAATGATTTTCAACCTTTAAAAATTATTTTCATTTCTGCTGTCACAGTCATAGGCTCAACTTGTAGACCTACATTTTAGGAGGTGTCAAAATTATGTATACCTGATGTTTTAAGGGTGCTAAAATCTCTAGTTACACCTATGCTGTCACTATGCTGTAAGTTCCATAGTCTCGGACGGATGATTCATTAAGGGTAAGACACTGATTTTCTCTTAAGCTAATTTCATATTTGTACAGGAAAAGTCATGTGGCAAACTGTTTCCTCTCGTTGGTTCTGCATAAGACATAAAATCGATAGCCACATATCGTCCACCAGATAATATGTCGTTCACTACGGTTTTTTAATCATATAGGGTGGACGAAATGAACAATCAACAAATGAACATCGTTACCGGGAGAACTCTAATCCCGTCAAAGGGCCGTGTCACGGACACGGTAGACTCAGACGGCGGTTTAAACTTAGACCTGCACTTTGCACGCACATGTACACACCCTTTGATCCGTGAGCAGGTACCATATGTAATCGACTTCATTAACAAAGCGACAGCACATCAACCTGTGTTGTCTTAAATGTCTACAACAAACGTCAGACAAAAAAAAAAAAAGTTCTCAAGTTAGCACATGAATAGACACTGCGCAGCTTCGGATTAGTTGATGTTGTTAATATTCAAATTGAATCGATTAGACCATTTTCAGTTGAAATTTGGTCTAGAATACATTTTGACAATTTAAGTGGTTGTTTGCAACAAACAGACAACAGTCATATGCTTCACAAAAGAAACGAAAATTGACTTATAAAATCTAAAAACATTATAGGCAGGGATAATAATTTTTAAAAATTCGCTTAAAACTACATAGATAATCATTTGAAGTTTATACATTTTTTTTTTTAATTGGGACCATAGTAAGTATATTTGTATAATTGTTAAGTTTAAGAAGCAAGAGGGCGCTTCGTTACTGTTATACACTTTTTATTAATGTGTGTATGCAGATGGCCGTACGATTTGGGTCCACTGCGATTGTAAATTTGCCCAAGGCTTTTGTGTATTGCCAATGAAATATTAACCGCGGTAAGTATCTATACATATGACAATAGTATTTTCATTTCAAACGCGCCAGCATCTTATCCAGACGTTGTGTTTTTGAGGGGCCAGTAATACCCCTTGGGAAGGGGAGACTCGGCCGACTTCCTCGTTGTTAAAGGGATTTATTTTGAGGGGATCTAATTTTTGATATTTTACTTCTCCGGTTAGGTTGCGGCCGCCCTAACAAGAATTTAATCAACCGTTGAAAAAATAAGATGAAAAAATAAGAGAAAAAACAAAACGGTAAAAACGAAAACTCTAAAAACAGCCAAGGCAAAGAGACAAACCCTTCGGATTATTTTCTTTTTATACATTTTTCTTCCCAGATAAAAATCTTGTAGGCGGCGGTCAAAATGAAATTAAAAAACTTTTGCCTGTCATTTTATTCAAACGAATAAAAATAGTATTACGAAAACACAATCGTACTTTGTTTTCCCTTTGATTAAATAGAACGGCTAAAAAAGGAGCTCCACAATCAGTTATTCTTGTCAAAATGAACTTAAAGAAAAATTACTAAAACTTTATATTATAACTAATAACCGTGACATCACTGTACTTTAGTAGGTCATAGGTTTTTTTTATTGATAAAAACCTCAATCACTATATCAGTAATAAGTTATTTTATCTTACATTAAAACACACAAAATAATAATTATTCAATTAACGCGTTATATATAAATTTATCTAAAGAAGTAATTTTTTTCTGTAACAATATTATATAATATGTCTCATTTCTTGGCATCATTAACAAGTCACGTATCTATTCATATTTATTTTTGAAGCTGTCTTCGGGGACTATCGAATAGATATTCGATTATAAAATCACAGTTCGATCAAACTTTAATTTTTTTTTTTTTAATTAGTTAAAATTATTGTCAAATGGGGCAAATAATTGTGAAAAACAGTAATACTGATTTTTTTAAAATAAATATTAAATAACTATTCAATACTTTAAAACGTAAGATGTTGTGAAAACTAAATTAAATATACAATTGTTCGGTTATACATAAATACCACAATTATTGTTTACATCACTTGACACTAACCTAATAAATTACCATAACTATGTATGACAGTCTAACCCAAGGATACCTATAATACCGTTAGAATTTTACAATTTTTAAAGTTTAACTGCAAAAACTGACATTTTTAAATGAAAATCTGCTTCCTACATAACATAGTAAAGTAGCCGAAAATATGTAGTCGATATTTTGTCTAGTTTTGAGTAAACGGCTTTTACTAATCGAAAAAATGTATTAAAATAAAAAATAATACCTTGAAGCTTATATACGAATTCACCGATAAATTAATTGACATGGTCGAAATTAATGAAAACCTCTTTTTTTCTTAAATATTGGCCAAACATATTGTTTTTCTATTCGAATAAGTCTTGTACAAATCATTCGAAAGGGAATTTGCACAAGTCTGATTTTATAAAAAAAAAAAACATGTACCGAACGATTGCAAGTAAATTACACATCATTGTCGTCGAATTAGGTATTTTTTTTTCCTCTTGTAAAGGCCAGATGGCATTTTCCCCGTCGTATTAACATCTTTATGAAACCATAAATTAGTTACGCGATCTCTGTGTATTTTTTTTTTTGTTCCCATCGAGAGGGCGTGTCTTGTGTGTTTTTTAAAAAGTACTTAAACGCGCTATCTACCCTCCGATACTAATATCATTATTATCATTATACCGTGTCACGGTCCCCTCGTTTTTTTGCAATATTAATATACACATGCGGCCAGAGTTGGACAAAAAAAAAATATATACATACATACATACATACACGTCACAGATACCATCTAATTGTAATGACTCCGTTTTGTATGTACACACGCGTTACGGTTGGTACCTTCTCCTATCATAGGACCATTAAGCGCTATTTAACTTTTTGCCCTTTTGTAAATATAATCGCATCCGGATCACCCTTGACAAATCGGTACTCGCCCCGCGGTTGTCCCTAAAAGAGAGCTGCAGTACCTATCAAAATAGCAATATAATACATTATAATTAATTGCAAATAGCTTTATGCTATATACCATACGCCGTTCGTCCAAGTCCGGCACAGTCCGGAAATATGTGATTATGCATTTTTAATAGCTATTAAAAATAGAGCTATGTTCCACTAAAGTATTTTACATTAATAGTTTTCGAGTAAACTAGTGTAGTTCACCCTGTATGTTGGGTAATACAGAATTGTCCATTTATTGCAAAACAATATTGTATGCTGGCTATGAATGATAGCCTTCAAAGTAGATCAAACCGCACTGGTAGGTATGTTGTTATTAAATAGGTTTTGCCTTGTAATACGCGACCAAACACCAAGACGACGGTCTAGATTTAAAGAGGATCGTTTGAATTTTCAAAGTAGTAGATTAGAAAAAAAATGCAATGTTAGAAAACTAACAGTGTGTGTTAAGTGAGCGATCAAAGCCCGACAAACGACACACCGTAAAACTGAAAAAAAAAATTCACCTAAAACTTTAATATATTATTACAGATTTAATTTAACATAATATTCAGTTTAAAATTAGCATTCATCAATTTTGAAAACAGTAGAATAACTTTTGAAAAATAATTTAATCCATTGAGCCAAATGCAGATTGGAGGATCTGCCAATTGCCTTCTTTTTCTTTTTTTTCATTCATTCCTTCTTCTGTTATTTGTTTTATCACTTCTGTTTCGTCACTTGTTTCCGTAATTAAGTCTTTAAATTTTGCCAATAATTGCAAAGTGAAGATCAACGGTTCATTCTTAGTTTCTTTGCAAATAAATCGTATAAGTTCGACGAATAACTTGGCATCTACATATTCTGCAACAACAAAACAAAACATTTTTATTAAAAATTATTAATGAACAGGTAATATAAACTGTTACAATATAAACAGCAATTGCACATGCAAAGTACCTTAGGAAAATAAAAAAATGCACTTTTATTTCCTATTTAAATCAAATAAATTTTTTTAATATTAAATAAAAAGTATCCAGCACAGTTAAACCACTTTTCTGGACCGAAGAAACCATCAAATTATAAATAATATGTTATCTGTTTCGATCTAAGCTGTGAATGCTATCTTAGTTTCCAAAACAGGTTTTCAAGTTTAAACTTTAACACCCTATACCTTAGTAGTTTGCGAAAATGTAAAAACAGTTTGTTTCATTTCTATTTTGTGTAAGAAAAAATAACAAATTATTCGTTTACAAATTGTATTAATAATTATAGATTTCTATTAATGCATATTTAAAACCAAAGTCGTCACAATTCGGCATCGAAGCTAAACTATTCTGATTAAATTATAAATGATGAATATTCATTGTTGGTTACCTTCTTCTAGAACATCTGATTTACGAACTACATGTGGAAGCTCAATATACCGATTTACTAAGTCTATGTGAGAATCGCCCACAAAATCTAAAAAATTCATCATTGAAAGTTCATTTCCATAATGTGTTGAGTACAATTTGCACACCAACTCATGAACGCTTTCTAGAATCTGAAATTTGATTTTACAAATATTATTATATACAGGGTGATTTATTAAGCATAAGGCGCTCAGTTTCACTAAAAAAAACGTAAATACCAAAGGCTATATTTAATTAACTTTAGTTTACATTGTCTTAGAATATCAGAAAACATTGAAACTTGTATCTTTTTTATTTTCTTCCAGAGCTCAATCGATTTTTAAAACTTAAACGGTAACGTTCTTATTTATTTACTTTTTTAAATTGAGATTAATTCGCTGAAAATGTTTAGTGGACGATAACCAGTTTTGGATAGGTACTTTTAGAGTTAAAGTCTTAAGCGTATAACCCTACACTGTATACTTAATTTCCCTCCACTAAAGAACCCTAAAAAAATTATCAATCTTTTACTTACTTTAACTTAGGTTTAGCTCAAAAACTCAACATTTTTTTTAGTATTATATAATATGTATGCCCAAAGTTAGCCTATTAGATGTCATGTTCAGTCAGTTATTAGAATAATATGATTGATGTATTACCTCCCCTAAAGACGGTTCAGTAACTTCATCTGTTACCATCTCTGTAGGAACACCGCCATCTTCAGTTTTCTGTCCAAATGTTTTTTGTATTGAAAAACAAACTAGCAAACATACAACAAAAATGTTTTTTGAATTCATTTCAATGTAAAATATAATATATAGTAGCTATTGAAAATGCTTCCAAGTAAAACTCAGTAATGAGACTGTTTCGTTTTTTATAACGCACTCTAAAAAAGTAACACCTATAAAAATGTGTTTTTGTATTTTCTTGTTTTTTGTATTACTAACATATTTGTAATAGGATTTCATGTATTCTGTTTTTACAAACATATCAAAAAGATGTTATTGGTATAATACCTTTTTATATTATACATATGTTTTTACTTGTTTTAAATGTTTTATGTTCTGTACAAAGTTTATAAATCTAAAATATAAATTATAAAAGTTATACCGAGTGATGCTTTTAACGCTCTAAAGTAGTTCACTCTAGGGATATTTAGAATTTTTTTAATTTTTCTCTTTGAAAATCTTTTTTTATTTTGTTACATTATAAATGTTATTTTCCTTATAGTCATCAATTCAAAAAAAAATTAAAACAGTAATAATAAATGTATTTAAAAAATAATGGTTTAAATTAGAATTAAAAATAACAAGTTATTTAAACAATCAAACACAAATATATTAAATACAAATTCATTTCAAATAAAATACATTTTTATTTGAGCTACATAAAAATACAAATCTCGAATTTGTAAAAAAAAACTTTAAGCTACTTATGGTTATATATATATAGTAAAGAAATTAATATTTTAACCCTTAACCATAAAAATAAGTTTTCAAAAATAAATACAGCTAAATGCAGGGCCTCTTTAAATATATTTACTCAATTTCGGATTTTAAATTTGTTATATCTAATTTCTGTAGTATTTAAAACCCAACAATACACCGACTTCATTAAATTCAATACATTTAGTTTTATAATGACTGTATAGCAATGTAAACAAATGACAAATACCTTTAGTATTGTAATATTAAAATTTTAACATTGTAAAAACAAACTTCTTTTACAAAAAAAAAAAACAATTCGTTCTCGACAATGACTATTGCAATGTAAACAAGTGACAAGTACACCTGTAAGTAAAAAAAACCTATTATTTTTCGCAAAGTTATTTGTTGCAATGTAAACAAATAACAAATACTTTGCAGGGGCTTCGTCTAAGCACAAGTTGTTTTCCACAGCGACTGTTGTAATGTAAACAAATGATAAATTCCTATAGGTACTTTTAATAGTATAAAATCTTCATATTTTCCAAAAAAAAACCAACTTATGTAGTTTTAATATTGATTTTTTTATCGAAAACCAGTTTTTTTTACAGTTGTTTTTGTATTTACATTTTTTAAGCTATTTTATTTCTCGCACTGCATAACCTTGGTGCTTCAATAGTTAAAGCGAACGCCCTTATATGTCTAATAATTAATAATTCATATATTGGTTAGAATAACTTTATTTATTTACCTTTTACCTATTTATTTATTTTCTGATACATGCAGTCGGAAGCAAAAACATCACTTCAAATGTACAAAAGCAATAGCCCACATAGTAAAAACAATAGATATCCAAATATATTATATGAAATAAATAGATATATGTATAAATATATTCATAAAAATACACTTTTAGTGTACACAATTTAAGTACGTTAGAGAGGTGCTTTCGGTTCCATAGCCAATTTGAGTTTTAAATTTATATCTGTTTTGTACCGAAACTATATGTTTTCTAAATAAGATACCACCATTTTCACAACGGCTGTTGCTGCAATGTAAACAAAATTAGCAAAAAAACAATCAGTGATATTTTAGTGTATTTTACTTGTATACGCCATGGTTTACTTAAACAACAATAATGTGATGTAAAACTATAAAAATTGTTTTTGTAAAATAACACAGCTCTTATAAGTGTAATAAATACAAGAAACAACTTGTTTTCGATATAAAATATAAAGATACAATTATACGAATTGTTTCAAAAATATGAACAATATTCATAAATGTTGAAACTTTAATAGCATATGATGCCTAAAGGTATTTGTCTTACTTTTACATTGAAAGAAGTAAGATTTTCATTTTTTATTCCAACTTCCCAAAAAATGGCATCGAGATTAGTTTACTAATTGTACTGTTGTAGTCACTACTAATCAGGTTTGCTGCAGTATTCAAAACCGTTAAGTCAAAACTACAATGATACACAGCTCCAAGTCATATCCTAAAAATAATTTAAATTTATGTACACTGTACAGTACTTAATTGGATGTTTTGTAAATTGTATTCTAGTTAATACATTTCTGTACAGTTTTGTACATATTTTCCGATCTCCTAATATCTCTTCCCACATAATCTACTATGTTTTTAAATTTAAACCGAGTGTTTATACATATAACACTGAGCATCAGAAGCTATATAGAAGTTACGTAGAGCCATTAAGTAGGGCAATTGTATATAGAAATGAAAATGTAAAAGTAGGTCTTTTTAAAAAAAAAATGTTTTTTTTTAAATATGACAGTTCTTTAAAAGTTTAAACTAGTAATTTTGTGGCATTAACAAGTATTTGTCATTGGCTTACATAAAAAAATTAGACTTATAGGATAGGTCAGTCGATCAACTCCGATCGTGTCCACCCTAGTACTTAAAATACAATTTTAAACACCGAGGGCCACTGTTATATAAATCAATAAATATATTTTTGATACCAATAGATTACAAATTGAATGCGTTTATTTTTTTTATAAAAACTCTTAAAATCTAAAATTTATACTTGTGATATTTACAATGAAAACTTAACTGTAGTTCAATCTTATTATAAGTAACAAATTTAATTTGCTCTCGGGTGTATATCATTTTAGCATCCCCCTAAAATGTAGGTCTAGTTTCATGTATAGTGTCTATAGACACTATATATAGACCACCTCAAACCTCCCCAGTCCCCCGGAATCGGGTGTGGTGAACTACTACCGTTATTTTTTCTGTTGTCAGGGATGTATTGAATATTACTCATCAGAGGCAAGTAAGCGAGAAGCGGATACAGTTGTAAGAAAAATCTTTTTGGTAAACAACATCGCCGCAACAACTGGTGGAAACTTGGAAGGGCTTTTTTTTTTTCTTCACCGACAGCAGGCGAACTCGTGCAAATAATACTTGGACGAGTTCAGATGGCCACCCCTGCGTCAAAGCTAATAATAATAAAAGATATTATTTACATTTGCCGTGACGGATAATGGCGTTACGATAAAGGCGTTTAGAGCGATGACGACGATAGTGGTCGGTGGGGTGAGGTGTATGTTGATAATAGATATTATCATAATCAGGGACGATATGTCACGGTCGGTCTCGGACCACACAGCGCACGTTTGTTGCCATTTCCTACCGCGGTTAACCGACTGTATAAAATACATACAAAATGCATGCATATATAATAATAGTGTATAAAATAATACCGTATGATTAACGCGTGTGGCCGTGTGCGCGCCACTTGTTCCCGAGGGATCGACCGCCTTCGTCCCTGTCCTGGCTGAACGACACCCGGCTTCTAATATATCCGATAAAAATTCATGAGACCCTCGTTGGGGTTAGGGAACACCCCGGTTACCTAATTATACATATTGTACAAATCCGTTTACTCTTCTGAAATACATATGACGTGGTATAACTTGTAATATATAGTAAAATATGCACAAACTGCATTGGCATACCACGAGAATAGCTGTTGTAGCTAAGTGTTAAAAGGCAAGACCGGAATAGGCCGCTGTGTGTTGCTATACAATATATGGTCTGCCTTTTGACAGTATATAATATTATACAAACTTGAACAAAGCTGGAACAGTAATAAGATGACTGTCATGTACCTCGGGATTCGTCGAGATGAAAAAAATAACGTGGAAAATTCATATAAACAAAAATAACTCACTCAAAGTTACACCAGATAAAATTGCCACTATATGCCTTCCCAGTCTACAGCTTCAAGACAAATTAAGAAGTTAAAAACTCTTGAAAATAAATGTTTAAGAATGTGTCTTAAAGTCCGGTGGTTCGTGGAAAATAGCCGAGTACTACAATGACAATGGACTATTATAAGCAACAAAAGCTGTAAATTAATATAAAGTATGTAATAAACCTGTACCGTACTCATACAAATTCGTTAAGTAAGTATACGTGATTTAATGTAGTTGTGTAGGTTGGGACTTTCGAAACTCCTGGTTAACACAAATACAAATAAACCCTACTAAATTTAAGTGCCTAATGAAAATGCTTGAAATATAATAACCATATAGAACCACTAACCATTAATCAATAATGTTAAGTATGCAATTTAAGATATAAATCGTTTAAATTCAAAACTACCTAGATTTTTACATAGAACATGTTTCAGTTAGATTTTATACTTATGTTGTGCATTTTCATTAAAATTTTACAATTAATTAAAACGTTTCCAAGTCAAATTTTGCATAATTTTTTTTTTTTATTACAACCAGTGATGATCCAAAAAACAGCATATGATAGGGGAGTTGATTTTGAACTTACGAAAAAATAATTTAGCCAAATTTCAAATGTTAATATATGAAACGATATACTAAAATATTGTTCCTGGAACGAATAGTGTAGGTCTACAGCGGACTTGGGGGAGAAGCAAGATTTCGAGTTTCACCCTACTATTATAAAATGTTTTTTATACTAATAATTTTAACGACATCCTATACAACATTATATTATACCTACTTAGGTATAATATAACTTACCTATACTCATAGACCCTGCGCGCGGCTCGTGCTACAACGTTCACAATAAAAAATATATAACGGTGAGATATGGTTGGACGGACAGACATATTTTTCCTGAGGTTTATACACATACATGGCACGTGAAATTTGATTTTATTTTTACTTTTGGTCCGTCTCTATAATTACAGACATAAAAATGATTTAGAACATCTAAGAATGCCCGCAGGTCTTCCACCGACGACCCGTCCGGCCGAGATCGTTCATGTAGAAGGCATATATACCTATATAAATATAAGTACACAGACGAGGAAACACCGAGGCGACCACAGACAGATAAATGATAGTGCTTTAAAATAAAATGTAAAAAATAAAAAAAAGTGAAGGTTTTCATATTAGGTACTTTTGTTGATATCGTTGTAACGTTGTTAAACGCATTATCGTGGAACATACTTCTGAGAAGTAATTAAATCACTGCATCACACTGTCATGGTCACCAAGGGTGGTTTGGGAATAATTTGTGTTTGGCGGTAATTAACAGCTCTATATTGAGTTAGCTTTTTTGTATAGTAAGCTTTGTAAGTATCGCAATATTCTATACTAAGAAGTCGTTATGCCGGCTAGGATTTAATTCTGTTTGAGTCGTCACTCAAAATTACATTTTAATTAAGTACTTTTTGTTCATTTTTACAGTGATTTAAGATTTTATAGATTTATGAAATAAAGTTATTACAAAATGTAATAAAAATATAGTTTAGACGAGTATAATTAATAGTTTCTTAATTGTTTGGTCGCGATTTTATTTTATAATTTTTTTATTAGGTAAAACCCAATCCACAAAAATGATAATAATAATAAAAAATTATAATACTTCCACAAAGTTACTCTGGTTTTTATTGATTCCGTTTTACTTTTTAAATCCAGCTTGTTTGCTGAAATTATTTTTCTAGAGCAATTGTAACCAGTTCAGACACTTATAACTAGTTTTTAGTAATTTCAACAAAAAAAACAAAAAGTAATAAAACGACTAAGTCATAGCAATTAGGGTGATAAATATACAAAGTAAAATTACATGAAGGCTAAATGGATACAAACAAATTATATAAGGGTGGAAAATAATAGTAATAAGTACCTAATTTATGTACAGAATGAAAAGTGAACTTGGTACATTATACAGACGATTTCAAAATAATTTTTCTGTTTTTTATAGTTTGACTCACACACAAACCATACATTTGTATACATGTATACATTTGTTAAAAACCAAAAATTTTATACAGGGCTATTACTTCCACTTTAACAAAGGTACATTCAACAGTTTACTGAACAACAACTGTGCGGCCAAAATTAAACGATTAACGGCTTAGAAAATACTTGTACTTTTACAGGGTCAAAAAAGTGAAATAAAAAAAATGTCTACCCTTCTAGAGAAAGGGTTTATGAATTTTTTTTTTTGTTTATCGGTAGTACTGTGTAAAAAGAATATTCCATACAAATTTACATATATACAGGCATAACACATTTTTTCTTTTAACTTAATATAAAAAAATGTCAAGTATAAAAACTCTTATCAACTGTTAGAAAACATAATATAACTTTACATTCTGACATTTTTACATTGAAAATTTGTATGTTTACCACAACTAAAATATTACGTTATTCAACAAACTGTAATCAGTCAATTCATTCGACTTCTATAAGGTTAAAACTTAAAAAAACATATTATTGTATTCAAATAGCCTGTTTATTTCGTTTAAAAACCATAAAACAGAAAATGAAAGTATATTATCTTTATTAATAATTATTATTCAACGGCAAAAATTAATATATATAATATACTTGAATAAATCTTAACTAATACCTAATACAGATTATAAACATAATTAACCAGTTAGATCACATTTCAGTCAACACAATAAAAAATATCTTATATGATAAAATGGCCACAAAATATATCTTTATTAGGAACAATAACTAATATTGACATGCATAAAAAATTACTTCAAAATAATAATGTTATACATATTATAAAACATATTTATTCATTTAATAGTGAAATAACTATGTTATAAAAACTAAAGTAATCTTCATGCTACGTTCAATTTTCGATCACCAGTTTGTCCGATTTGTACAAGTCTCCAACGATAACCTTCAAGTACAAAATACAAATTAATTATACGTAATAAATTGTAAAAAAATATAAAGTGTCGTAGTTATGTAAGGCATTAAATTAAAAAATATGATATATTATCTAAAAATAAATTTTCGTATGGTTACAAAAAAATAAAATTGTTTAATAATAAAACCACAAATTGTCTCACCATAAAAATGGAATTTACTAACAATAAAATGAACGCAATCAATAGATAAATGATAAAATCTAGTTTAATAAATTGAATAGTTTAACTGGTGAAATTGTATGAAGGTAAAGGTGAAGTGGCTAATTACTTTGTTATGCAAATAAGTGAAAAGACCATTATTAAAAGCAAAACATCTGTATTACAATAAGTAATAACTGTTAGGGCAGTTAATTGTATTATAATGTGTAGTCAAATAACATCATAACAACCATGAATTATATAATCACAATAATAACATAAGTAAACAATTAATAATATTATAAAAGGTACGATGTGTCTACGTTATGGTATCCAACACTGTGGTCAAGAATAAAACAAAGGTATTTTTGGCAATATTACTTGTCGTTTGATGATTTCCAAATATTTGTTTGCCTCTTGCATGTTGTGTTGAATTTCAGTTGGGTCCCTAAGAGATTTGTTTTCCCTAAACTTGTCCTTGATACGTCGCAGTGCATACATTCTATATTTGAAATATGAGTACGATTAAAATACGGTAGAGAATATTTTCTCAGGTTTCATTCCTGCGCTTACCTGTAATTGTAGAATGAAAATTTTGAACTCTCTCGCAACATTGTCTTGTACATTTTCAAAACCGCCGTCTTCGACGTAGACGCCATTGCAAGTGGAAAAACAAAGCCGTTAAAAAAAAATGTACCGAATTATAGACAAATTGAATTAACAGCCGATTTTTCAACCACGAGATGTCCGATCATAGAAATCAATGTAGACTTGTTTCTTTTTCAGTGACTCGAGATGGGCAAACAAAACAGAGAGCTTTTACCGGTCTTCTGGTCTCGATAACTGAAATCTGAAACAGTTCAGAGTCGTACTGCAGTCTGCATGCTGTACTTAAATGCAGTCTGCACTCCGCACCGGCTACCGTGACCGTAATGAGCTAGAGAATAGATAAGAACCTTATCATTAGTGATAACAGGATTTTACCAATAGATAATAGATAATAATAAAACGCGTCTCCATGGATATATATATATTTTTTTAAGTTTTATGTACATTCGTACGACTTTGCCTCTGAATAATTACTATTGTGATCTGTAATTATTATTATTTTTCTACCGGTGTGTACCTGAACCCAGTTAAATGATAAATTGTAATTCTAATTATTAGAGAGTACTGAGTAGAAAACGTTTCGGTTAAATTTTACACTTGAAGGTAATTACTGTAGCAAACTATTTGTAGACTCGGTTATTGGCTTATTTTTCACTCTAAAACGTGCTTGATTTTATAATATAGTTCAAGATTTCACAAAATCAAAAAGCGTCGGAAGATAATATGGTGGTCAATGACGAACCGTACGACGACAACAGCTCTCCGGATTTTAACTATTTAGAGCAATACAAGGAAATGAAACGAAAATTGAGACTGCTAATATACGTAAGCTTCAACTTCCAGTATTTTGTATAATTTCCAATTTTTATAAATTGTGTACACTGCTAAACAGAAATAGTCTGCTTATTATTTGGGAGGTTGTTAAAAACTGAAAATACACTACTTTTACAAGTATGATCAGCCGATTTGATTAATTCAAATGAATTAATTGATTAACATTTTAATCAAATCATTTAGGTACCAACTCATGCTTGAACTGTAGTGTGAAATTGGATTATTTGAATGCATATTATACAAAATCAGTTCTAAATACAATTTTTTTTAAAACAATTTTTAGGAAAATGAGATATTTCAACAGACACTCAAAAAAACTCAACGAAAAATGCTTAAGGCTTCTCGAGACAAAAGTGTTTTACTAGAAAGACTTTTGCAATATGAACGGGTGGAAATAAGCAGCAGTGATGATGAGTTGACAGAATCGTCAGATGAAGGCGAATGCAACAAACCAGAACCAAAAAAGTTAGCATTTTAAAGTATTTTTTTGAATTCTTTGATTTTAATGTTTCGTAATAATTGTATTAACCACTTTTATTGTATTAACCTAACCACTTAGGCGGAGAGAAGGTCCATCTGTAAACGCGTCTGGTTCTATCAAACAGTCAGTGAGTCCTCAAACTACATCAACCAGTCAGCCAAAAAAACGAAAGCCTTCAACCCCTAAAACATCTAAGTCAATGCCAATGGTAACTATACCAATACTCATCTATAACAATTAACTATGCACTCAACAAATTATCTGCTATGACGTTGGCACAGTATTGAGTAAAAAAAATCCATAATAAATCGATGATAAACTTTTATGAGTACTAAACCAACAACTTATATTTTTAAAATTTCTATGTATATTTACTCGTAAAATTTGACTAGACCCAAGATTAATAATGTCATATTTCTAATAACGAGCTTATATTTAACCATGAAAAACGCTGTTGAAGTAAAAATAATCATGCTTAATTTTTAATCATGGGCATTTTGTTTTTCATTATTAAAACCCATTGACATAAATATTACATATTCTTAATTGTGGATTTTAATTCAACGAGCATACATACATACATACAAATGTTATTTAATTACTTATAACAAACTTTAATCAAATATACGTTAGCTGAACACTGAAGTTCCATTCCCTATCAAATTTGATTTTTTTTATTATTAGTTTTGTACTAAATTTATCGTGGTCTACAAAATGGCGTTTTCAACTATAATTAATATTATTTCATGTTTATTTTAGCAACTTCCACAAAACGAATTGACATTGACAACGCCAGAAAACTGTGCAAAACAATTGCTTGATCAAAAACCTGCAACAAACAATTTTGCACTCCACAACTTGAGAACAGACCTATCGCAGTTTCCTGAAAATTTTTCGGTCAAGACCGAATCGAATGGAATATTTGACATGGACACGTCTCCTAATCACGTTTCTGAAGATATGATCAGCGTCGATAGCATAACAAAATAGTTAAATTACTTTTTTTTTTTTTGACAACGATAATCTTCAAAAAACAAGTCTACTATAACATGTACTATAATAAGTAATTCCGATATTGGCACCTGTTAACATTGTTTTCTAAAAAGTGTCATTATTATATTAGAAAAATATTTCTAAAATACAATTATTTTAAGTGTTATACCAATAAAATATAGCTCTAACGAAATTATATTGGTATTTAACCAAAAATGGTTAAGTTGATGTACAACATATGATATTTATGTAATATTGTAATATTATTTGTACATTAAGATTTTAAAATGAATAATACTGTAAAGTTAAGAGACGTTATTTTACTCAATGGTTTACCTAAACTGATGTCTTTTTTTTATATAAATCATGTTTACAATTATAAAACATGTACCTTATTTTGTTAACCACTTAATATTTACTTTAGACTTTAACAATTCAGTATTTTATTTTTAATGATAACAACTTTTAGTTTTGATGTTTTTATTTTATTTTTATTTTTACAAAGCTTTTTGTATAAATGTATAATATTACGACATGTAAATTGAGTTTTTATAACACACAACAAAGTTATTTATTCAATTATACAAAAAAATGTCATCTCTTATCTTCAAAATATTTCTCAGACTTTATTTAGCGTTTAATTAAAACTTATTTGTATACAAAAATGTATGGAATTTAATATAAACAAACTCGGCTTAAAATAATAGTTTTGATTAATTAGTGTTTTTGAATTTTTTGAAATTTATTTATTGTGTGCGACGTTTCACTTTGAATTTGCCTCAATTTGAGCATATTTGAAATACATTTTGATCATTTTTACATAATATGGCATTTAGGTCGTCTTCGTCGACGATCCTCAGGCGTTTCTTTAGGATGACTGCGTATTATACGTACCACCTACAAATTTATTGTTATAATTAACACAAACAAATCTTTAACGAATTAAATCTTGTTTACCTCATGGAAAGCACCATCAATATTTTGTGGTGGATCTTTGGCACTAGTTTCCATGTATGGCAAATTTAATCGGTTCGCCATTTCTCGTCCTTCACTCTCGGATACTTTGCGTAAATGCACTAAGTCGACCTTATTAGCAACAAGCAATATTGGATATTGATCTCTGTAAAGTACAAAAATAACAATGTTTAAAAAACAATCAAACAAGTTAAAATCGTTTAAGCAAAATTTAAAAACAATTTTCAAACTTTCATTTCTACAGTCTTCTAAATAGGTACTCAAACTGTTTGATTTCAATAAAATGTACACTCATTTTTGGGAAATATTGTTTATTAATTATATTTTATTTTGTAAGGCCAACCATAACTTACCTATCTTTGACCCGCAATATTTGAGTGAAGAAATTTGGTACGTTTTTAAAACTGTTTGGATCTGTCACAGAATAGACAATCATGAAACCATCTCCTTTTCGCATGTACTGTTCCCGCATTGCGCTGAACTCTTCCTGGCCAGCCGTGTCCAATACTATAAAAACATTTTCAACTTTTAATTTAACCACATAAATATCTTATTTTATCTTGTTTCCCACATTAAACTATTATTAGTGCTAAACACCTAACCGAACAGAGCAAACAGCTATATAATACATAATTATGTTTTTTTTTTAGTCATATCATTTTTTTTTTAATCAAAAGTATTAAAAACAAAGGAACCAGTTTTATTTTTTTTATATTCACATATTTAATTTGTAAATTATTTTTGTACTAATGTAAATAATATTATTGACTATAATTTGTATATTATATTAATTGGATAAAAAATTAAAATTTCTTTAATTGTGTTATGGATTTGTTTACCATTGGTTGTTTTTTTTTTCTGATATTTTTACCAAATACCTGTCAATTGTGTTACTGTGGCACTTGCACATCTATAGTTCTAGCACTTAAAACACTATTGACAGTAGACCAATTAATCTTACTGCATTACAATTAAAATTTCACGTATTATAAAACAAAATAAATATCATTGTCACAATACCTAACAGTAAATTAGGCATTTTACAAATACTTCAATATTACGTTGTGCGATTCATAAAATATATCAAATATGATATGAATTTGAGTTCAATAATTCTTTTAAGCAGTACCGGAAAATTGAGTTTAGAAATTTAAATAATTATATTACTTATAAACTAATACAAATTGTTTTTGAACCAACACATGTGCCGGTAATTATCATTTATTGTTTTTATATTTACTGTCATGTTGTGTTGTACATGACATTTCTTTTGTTATTGTTTGAAAAATGTATAGGTATAACCATACATTATTATGCTTTCCATTCTAATACAATGTAGGTGATACATTTCAGTTTAAATTCCACATGCCATTAGTAGCAACAAAATTATAGTATAATTTTCTATATACATTTAAATTGTACACCATACTTATGCACTATACTTTAAGCCTTCAGAACAATTTTCAAAAGCAAGTTAAGAAAAAAATATGTTGTGCCGTTACTGCATATAGGCTAAATATGAACAACAGTATTTGAGTGAGCAACTTTACGTAATAATATACATAATACTGACTATTATGAAATGGGTATGAGGAGGACTTAGTAATACATACGCACATGAGTATCCATTACTAATAGGATTTACCTAAAATTAAGTTAAAAAAAAAAAAACACTCATGTTTTGACTTATTATCTGTGGTAAGCCTACGTCGTTGTTTTATTTTTGCAAAATGTATTTTACTAATTCACATTTTTATTAGTTTTAGTATTAATAACTCATTAAACACACGTATTAAAATTATTTTGTTTTTACAATAAATAAATATATAGGTACCTAAAAATGATGAGATGAATTTGTTAAGGTAATATTATTTATGGTAAAAACAAGCCTAAATGAATGTAGAAGGTACTTCATAAGGCACAAATTTATATGTGGGAGGCCACTAATGGGATTTAAAGGCCATAGAAAATGCTACACCTATAGGTGTAGGAAAATAACATAGTAAATGTTAATTTCGTACTTGCTTTTAGTCAAACCAGGAATTTACTAGCCCTAAATTACAACTACAGTTTGGTGTCGTTACCATCAAGAATGCAGAATTCTTCATCTACACACGTGTGCTGTATATAACTGTCTTCGATAGTTGGATCGTAGTCTACTACAAACATTTTCTGGAAAAACTGAATGGTGATTGCGCTTTTCCCCACACCACCGTCACCGACCACTACCAGCTTGTAAGTGGGTAATGGTTGGTTGGGGGCCTGGGTTATAGCGCGTCGATGACGCGTCAACTCCTGTTGTGTCGTAAATGGAAACCGTGACGACAGCTTGTCTATGAAAAACAGGACATTAGATATATAAATGTATTGTATTTGTGGTTAATCGTATTGCAGTGTTGATTGTTTTCTCTAAATTCTCACTTACTTATAGGTCGGTCCAGTTGTTCTGATACTACATGGTCACTCATTCAAGCATTATGCAGTAGTTTCGTTCAATCGTGTAAGCATGCCGGTAGGTTAAAAATGACGGAATAAAAATTAATTCGGTTTACGGTGAGAATTTATTATAAAAAAACTTGAGCTGAAATCTTCAGTACTGAGTAATGACTAGTGAGTACGGACTACTGCACCGCATATTGTTAAAAAAAAAAAATCTAAAACAAAACAATAATTGTTATCAGTTAAGTGCTTGTGGACAGTGATAAGAAACGATAAAGTATAATATGCGCACTGCGAATGCGCCATATTGTCAAAATCTGCAGTCGGCAGATTTGTAATTTGAATTCAAATTTTTTTTCCAAAATTAATTTTTTATTTAGTTTTTGATCTAAGACAGCGAGCCGACTTCGGACTTCAAACCCGAAAAATGGCCGGCAAAGGCTACTTTTTACATGAAGGACCCGCCTATTCGTTAGCATTGAACAAGGAACACACTCATGTCGTTGTCGCAGGCAGAAACGGTAAGTACTTGTATAATTTACCCTGTATGATCGATTCAAGAAAATCGGTGCTTAGTCCATTACTATATTAATTGGCGTAATAGTGTTCAAGGTTTTCCTCATCGATCAAGGCGGCTTTAAAGAATCTGTTAACTTACGATGTGGGAAAACATCGAGCGTACAGAGTTCATCGAGCATGGATGTTGCTTGGAACCCAGCTGATGGTAAAATATAAAATATAATACCTAATGTTTAGTTTTTAAGTATATATATATTTATGCATACAGTAGTGTATTCCGGAGGGTGAAAACTTTTTGGAGGAGTTTTTAAAAAATTTCCCATAATATACCACTGTATTTATAAATCTAATACTATTTTCAAAGTCATTGCATCATAACAAAATGTATTTTTTTATAGATAACATACTAGCTACAGCAACTACTGGTGGTGCTGTAGTTACATGGAACTTAAACAGATCGTCTCGAAATAAGCAAGAACATGTATTTTATGACCACAGAAGGACCGTTAACAAGGTAACTTTCCACTGTGTTGAGCCTAACTTACTGATGTCTGGTTCGCAAGATGGAACCATGAAATGCTTTGATTTAAGACTAAAAGAACCACCTAAAACGTATTCGAGGTACCAAATATCCGCTGAGATATTTATTTGGAAAATTAACAAAAATGTCTATATTATATTTTAGTGATTCTGAAAGCATTAGAGACGTTCAATTTAGTCCTCATAATTATAATATGTTTGCTGCAGCATCCGAAAATGGTACTATACAAATTTGGGACTTAAGAAAAAATGACAAGTGTTTAAACAAATTTTCTGCACATAATGGACCAGTATTTTCTTGTGATTGGCATTCAGAACTTCCTTTCTTGGCAACAGCAAGTCGCGACAAAAGTATTAAGGTATAATATACAAAATTGTCAATTCAAAAAAAAAAGATGTAATGTACACTTTCTAATTAGGTTTGGAATGTAACCAACAAACCAATAGCAGAATATACAATTAGCACAATAGCCCCGGTGGGTCGAATAAAATGGCGACCTTATCGTAGATACCATTTAGCATCTAGTGCGTTAGTCTTGGACTCTGCTATTAACGTTTGGGATGTGCGTCGTCCATATATACCTTATGCTTCATTCACAAAACATACTGATGTTGCGACGTGTATAGCTTGGAAAGGAGATCCTTATGTGCTTTTATCTACAAACAGGGTAAGTTTTTTTCTTTACGGTGTATAGTCACTTTGGTTTAATATTACTTTTCTAAACCGACAGGATAGTACATTACATCAAAACTTCATTAGTGAAGCTGACTTGCCTTTGGAGAGTTCGAATCCTCAAGGTATGGCCATCAATATAAGTGGCGATCTCGCATACTGTTGTCCAACCGTTTTAAATAAATCTGAAATTCACAAAGTTGACAAAGGCAAAGAAACATCTAGGTAATAACATTAAGTGATAACACTTATTAATCAATGGTAATAAACTAATTTATAATAAATTTAAAAAGTATTACTAATCATTAGCGTAATTAATTTTCAGGAAAACGTCAACAACAAGTGGAGAGGAAGAATTGAATACTTCAAGTCAGATGAATGTATTTCGAGATCCAAAAGCTACTTTGTGTCTATCGGATGAGACTGACTGTTTTCGGACATGTGCCACCCAGTATAAACTTAGCGGAAAGCCATTAGCCGAGCTTTGTGAGCACAATGCTAATGTAGCGGCCAGTGTTGGAAAACCAACTGTATGTAGATAACAATTTTTATTTGAGCTTCAATGCTATATTAATTTTATACTGTCTTTTTTTTCTCTCTTTTTGTGTCTAGAGTCTAGACTTATAAAATATCTTGTTACTAGCTCGATTTTTACATGTAGCAAATTTTAATATAAAAAAGTTTATCCCTTCCTCTCTTAAATAGAGAAAACTCCCCCATTAATTACGAGTTTCTAACATATTTTAGATACATCTTGTATGGAATATACTGCGAATTTTATATGATTATACATCTCATAATACCCCTAAAGATGACATTCAAAGTAATTCAAACATTGAGAGTAGCTTTGAAGAAGATGAAGAAGATTTGGCTGTTTCTAGTAGTGAAGAAGAAGGTCACAAACCAGAAAGAAAGAAACCATTGGGCGATTTCTTTTTTGGAGACACAGAAATGGACCCTTTAGGTGCCGAGCTTGATCAATTTGAAACAATTGGTTTGGGTATGGATAGTAAAACTGTCGATGAAGACAGCAACTGGGTAGTGCCAGCTGAATCCATTACTCTGAGACATGAAATTTCACACCATCCAATCGTCGATCATAACTATATGCCGGAACTTTCTCCTGTTGCACACATATCTGGTAAAAAATAAAAATGATTTTATATTTTTATTTATTTCGATATGTCAAACAATTTAATTAATTTACAGCGACTAGCCGTAAGATTACTGTACCTGCATTGCGAATAACTTCCCCAGCCAAGTTTGATCCTTGGGATCCCACTGAAACTGTTGCAAAAGCTCTGCGTTTCCACGTCGACCAAGGTGATGTCCAAACAGCGGTTTGTGCTCTTATTGTACTAAATGACGACGTAAGAAATGAACTGACTAACCCTAAAATTCCTAACCATCTTTTACAAATCGAAATGGAACAATGGATGTTAGCATATATTGATCTTTTGAGTAGATTCAAACTTTGGTCCAATGCCACAACGGTAAAATACAAAATAACAAAAAAAAATATTAATTTTTTCATTTGAAGCTTTGATAAATTTATTTTTTGTAGGTTATACAGTTATCTCGTATTAATAGTATTCATCAATTAAACCGTATTTCTACTTCGGTGTACTTAAGCTGCGGATGGTGTTACAAAGGGTTGACACGGAGTAGTCGTCACTGTTTCAATTGTCGACATTCAGAATGTGCACGATGTGCTTTGTGTCAAAGAGTGGTTCGTGGCATGTACGCCTGGTGTCAAGGGTGTGCTCATGGCGGACACATTGGCCACATGAAACAGTGGTTTTTGGAGAACAAATACTGCCCAACAGGGTGTGGGCACATGTGTGAATACTAATTTAAACTAAATGTAAGCATTATGTTTAATTTATTATTTGCTAGTTATAGAAATATTTCAATTATTTATAATCAATATTTAATTGATACTATATCACATTCATCACAAATATATCAAAATATTTGGATTTTTGTTTCATTTAAAAAAAAAACGCAAAACTGTACTTTCAAATGATATAATAAAATTGTATAAAAATAATACATAAAATAAAAATATACGATTGAGGCTTAAAGGAAAAGATAGATAGCAAAATTAATATAAAGAAGTAGTTGTGTGGCGTGGAACAAAAGAAAGAAAGAATAATATATTGAGGTAATACATTTTACATTTGTACACGATATTCATTATAAAAAGAGAAGACATCGATATTTTAGAGTTAAAATTGAAAATAAAATTGATAGCAGTAGGAAAAAAAATTAATTAAATACATATATTATAATAAATATAAATCGGGTTTTTTTTCGTAATCGTCGATTAAAAAAAATATTTATAGTAAAGTGCATTTCAACTTCTTCCGCCTGCCTTTGTCTTTACCCTTTCCATTTGCTCCTTTAACGTCTTCCTTTTTACGAGCACGAATCTCACGCATCAAATCGAAAAATACCTAAAAACAGATAATAATTGGCGGTTATTATTATTATTATTATCATTGTAACTTTTAAAATTAATCGAAATAACTTTATTGCAATATGTCAACTAACTTTATCTACATTATCTCTGGTTTTGGCTGAAGTCTCAACATATGGCACTTTCCAATCTTCTGCTCTAGCCTGAGCGTCTTGCAATAAAACTTTTCGCTTGTCTGTTAAATCTCCTTTATTTCCCACCAGTAAAAATGGTATATTCTCATCATTCTTCACTCGCAGAATTTGTTCTCTAAAATGAAGGTTATATAAACTTTAGTATAGTGTTTTTTCCTAGTAATTATTCTGTTACATGATTTTTACTCGACTAATAATTAATTAAAATATTATGTTTACAGTTAATAAAAGTAAATCTAAATTAAAAAAAAATTTTTTTTTTATTATTTCTTAAAGCATCAAAGTATATATAACTAAAAATTTGCTAACAATTAATTATACAAAATAGCTTCTTTTTTATCTTGAACTAATTTATATTGCATGTTTTCAATTTTATTAAAACAATGAGATTATGAATTTTAGAATTAGAAACATAATTTAAAATGTATCATCATCAGCTTAACAGGCCTCTAAGGCCCAACGCTACATCATGAGATTATGGTTTCTAGAAGAAATTTTAAAATGTATATTTTCAATTACCATAAATATTATGTTTTAACAGGAAATTAAATATGATTAATTTTTAAATACCTAAATTCCATAGTAGATTGGAAGCTGTCATCCTCCGTGATTGAAAAGACACACAGGAAACCTTCACCACTACGAAAGTAATTATCGCGTATGGCTGCATAATCTTCCTGGCCAGCTGTATCCAATATGTCAATTTGGACTTCTTCACCATCCAACACGACCTTCTTACGATACGAATCTGCCTTCGTCGGCTCATAGTCTTCGACGAACTAAAATGGGGCGTGTCATTAGTGTTGTTATGCGCAAAATATTGATTTTATTAATACTGTAGTTTAACTTACCTCATCATACATAAACTGCAGTGTAAGTGCCGATTTACCGACACCGCCACTACCGACCATTATAACTTTGTGCAAAGCAGGTTGTTCGGGATTGACTTTCTTCATGGCTGTAATACAAATACGATGTTCTTTATAACTAAAAAAGTATAAAATAGATGTACGTGTATTAAGTGTTTGTGTATTCTTTTAAATAAATGGTCTCACAATGAGTGAATCTTTACTAGTGAAAACTACTTTGGGTCATAGCTTTCTCAGTAATTATAGAACAATCATGGGAAAACACATAGAAATTAAGGTGGCGTCTATTGTATGCTATTAAAACGTGTTCGGTACAATAGTATTCGTAATAAATCATTTAACTAAATAAAAATAATAATAATTACCTCACAAACGAATATGCAAATTATTTTAAACTAAAACTAAACATTAACAATTTACAACTAGGTACTAGAAGAGAAAATGTTAATTGATTTTTCATAAAAGTTTTGTTTACATTTGGAATGTTATCAATGTTCGTCAATCGACAGGGTTGGTCGGTACTGTGATGAGGCTAAACTAACAGTATGACCACATAAAGGGAATCATTTTGTGTGTGTTAATAAAACAATAAATATTCCTAGATTATATTTAATGATCTGAGAACTTTTCATATAAAATAATTTTCTTTTTGTTACACAGATATTTTGAGCTTTTGTTATTTGTAGTATGTTTTACTGTTGACATAAACAAGGGAATTTCTAGGAATTAATAAATTGATAACCACTTAAATATATTTTAACAAAATAAGCTCCGATTTCTCATCAATGGATCAAGTAGGTAGCACGCTAATAAAAAAAAAGAACTAGAAAAACAAGATTGTTCGGTTAATACATTTTAATTAGCATAGGTTATTACTTATTAGCATACTATCCCCTCATAAAAAAATTGTTTTAAGTTGTTTTACCACTTTACGTGGCAGAAAGTATTCATAAATTATAGAATGCCACAATTTCCAATTGCAAATTATACTTAATATTATTATAGTTGTACTAGAATACACTTAATATGTTAACATGAAAAACTACTTTTTAGATTATAAACTCAATTTAAATGACATTCTGTTACTCGAAAAAATTAATATTTTTTTCACAAAGCTGAGAATATTTTATATACGAAACTGATTTTTAATCATTTTTTAATTTTTACTGTCGAAGATTCTATAAAAATCGACAAAAAAGAAGATTCAAAGAAATAACTACTAAAAATATTTTATACGACCATGGCTATTATAATCAAAAAAATAATGCCTACAAATTTGAGAAAATTTCTTTCATTGTACAAGACGTGTAGGGTGTTTCAAGGGGTGGTGCTCCAACCATTAGTTCGTATTTGGCGTTTTAACCCATATATTATATTATCTAAAATTAATTTTTTACATAATTGTCGAGATGACATGATGTTTCATGTTTTCTCAATTTTCTCTTCAAAATACAAATTCGCAATGTAAACAAAGTTGTAAATAATTATCAATTATCATATATGTTATCACTTCTTATCATGTATATGCTCTTATCAAAATTTTAATAATAATTAAAAATTGTAGGTAACATCATCGCAGACTACAGAATTATTTAAAAAAACAAATTAATATTTACCTTAATATTATAATTAAAATGTACGTTTAGTAGATTAAACATAATGAAAAATACCATAATTGTTAGGAAATATTGTTACTTATTATATTATTATTGATCATTGTAAATAAGCCATGTTCGCGTAAGGAAATAATAATATAATATTTTATAATGGAATCTTCTGTAAGTGAAACTAATAAACCACCGGGTCCAGAAAATAAAGAAAAAAGTAAGCTTGTCAAAATAGATAACATACGTTTTACTCTAACTTTTGAATCTTCTAGTTGAAATATTGTTAAAAGCAACTGGAAACGCACCAATTTTGAAGACCAAAAAGTGGATGGTCGAAAAGGAAAAAACAGTAGCTGCAATAAATGAGTTCCTGCGTAAATTATTGAAACTAGATCCATCTGATTCCTTAGTAAGTCAATTAAAAAACACTTTTTAATTTGTACAACATCATCATTATTATGAATTTTTAGTTTTTATATGTTAATCAAGCGTTTGCTCCATCTCCGGACCAGACAATGAAAAATCTTTATGATTGTTACAACACAAATGGTCGCGTTGTTCTTTATTACTGCAAAACACAAGCTTGGGGATAAATATGTACACTTTGTAAGAAAATTATTTTTTGTTATAATTTATAAGATTTATTTTAGTTAATTTTCTAATTAAATAAATAATTTAAAAATTATTATATATTTTTTTTATAATTACATTGATTAAATATACATAGTTAGCATAATATCTATATCAGCATATTTAGTTATAGATTAGTCCTGAAAAATGTATTATTTAGTATAGCATCTGGTCAAAACAATACTTTTAAAAATATATGGTCCATCTATTTATGTTTAAAACACCTGTTTGATGAAATTGTGCACAGACTCATTATTAATTGATTAGCTATTGTCGTCTTAAATTGTAGTTGTTCAAAAATGTGAATAATAAGGAATAGTTCTTTATTTAGATGGTAAAGTTTAAAATGGCCCCAGCTGTCATAGAGTATATTTATATAAATATCTATTATTTGACGTTAGAATAACATAATTTTTATTTTATACTCATTTCTAAACCACCCATGAGGTAGAGTATTTGGCTCGTTTTTTTTGATGTGGTATCTCCATATATAGGTAGATAAAACTCAATGGTATAGTGGAGGTGTCTTTAGTAGATAAATTAACTTAGGTATGATATCATCAGCTGTTCATACAACGGGCATACGACTTATCTGTGAGGCAAGCTTTTTGGACCGCATGTGTACCAGTTGTACTCGCTGGTCTTATATAGCACATTCATCATACGCGCTTCTATAAACAGTCGAGACATAGGTACCTAAATCCACTACTACCCGAAAGAAATATATGGAAGTAGTTTGTGAGAAAGAATTAGTAAAATTATATGTGTAAAATAATTGGTGCAAGGTGGTTGGGATTAAAGTAAAGGAAATATAATGAGATATTTTCGAAAAAGAAAAAACAATTTACCAAACGGCAGTCAAATAAAGTACTAGAAAGTCATTGGTTAAATATAGAAGTAATTAAAAATAAAACAATGGAAAACAAAGAGGAAATATTAATTTAAAAAAACAAACTATTACAAAACATGTATTACTTGACAAATGTAAAACAGAAAGTTTACTATACTTTGAAATTTAATTATTACAGAAAAAAAAAAGTATAGGCAAATCTGTAATGACGTTTTATACATAAATATTTTAGGCTGTACAGTTTGCTATAATGACAGCATTAGGGCGCCTAGGCCCTTCTCGTGAGAAACTCAATTTTCTGCCACTCATTTTGTAATACTTTTCAAAACTACTATGTTCAAGACTTACGAGACATTTTAAATTTTACTTAGAATTCAAACCTCAACAACCATCTAAATAAGAATACAACTGCAGTGTTACTAATACAAACTTAAAACTACTTTTTGGTGCCTCTGTAGTAAAAAATGTACGGCTGCAGGCTGCTACAGTGCTACAGCTCGAATAAAATATAAATCTCGATTTAAAATGGTTACCCGTAACAAAAGTCAAAACGATTTCATCGGCCAGTATATTTTTTTTTGTAAGAATTTCAAACAGCTGACTTTGCTTACAGTGTTGCTAACCTATTTGCTCGGTATCACGTATATTTTGATAGCGATTTAACTTTGAATATTATCTTATCCGGCTGGCGGCTGCATTCAGTCGTCCTAACTCTTCAGCAGCTATCACTTTTTTTTTTCTTACCTCGCCTCTACATTTCGGTTAATATTAAACATAATAAATGTAAGTTCACGTCATAAACCTATCCTATATTAGTTATTTGTTCTGTTAGACTACGCCGACATACACATTCGACACGCCAAAATGAGCAAACCCTTTAAAGAAGACGAGATCAGCTTACGAGTTGATCGTTGCCTGTACGACTCTGCAATCAAATTCAGTAAGTAGTGTCTTTATATAAAACTAATGAAAAAATAAAAATATATAGTATGATAAATTATTGATATTATATTTATTTAAGTTTAACACAATTAAATTATTTTTGAACGTGGAAAAAAAATGTTCCCAATTTGACCCTATTATGTTATTGAATTGCGACTTATACTAAAGTTGATTGCTTTGGACTCAATAACTGTTGAAAAACTATGTTTCTTTTATATTACCATCATAATAAGTAACTTTATTAATTATTTTATGTTTAGGTGCAGGAATAGGCGTTGGTTGTGTAGCGTCTTTACTATTCTTAAAACGTAAGTTAATTTTATTCAATACTGTGTTATCATCAGTTTACCTTATAATCAATGTACATTATTAGGTAAGAAGTGGCCAATCATTCTCGGCTCTGGTTTTGGATTGGGTTTGGCATATCAGAACTGTGAGAAAGACCTACGAGAATACTTCACGAGAACATGAGACGACTTTTGTGTTTAGACAGGATTACATTAGCCTTAAGACTCTTAAGTCAAATGTGTTAATTTTTCAAATGTTTTCTTCTTTATGTTCACTCTTGTAGGTAGTGTGAATTTTGTTTTGAATATAATTTATAAATAAATAAAATTACCAATTTATCAATAAATTAAAATGTATGTAATTTTACACAAAAATTAAAAATCATAGAATATTTGATTATACATTACTTCACTTAAACAACAAAAAGAAAATAATAATAAGAATTAGTAAAACAAATATAAAAGAAATTAACACCTTGTTTGTTTATTGTGATATATAACGGAATGCAATCTCAAATTTTGTAAATCACTACAGCTATAATTACACATATTGCATCGAAGATTTTGATGTAAACACTTCTTAGGAGGCAGTGTTAGTCGTCCTGTCAATTGTAATTCGGAAATTATCTCTGTAATCAAATTGTGAATAATAAATATAAATGTTAGTTAAAATTGACAACATGTCTTTTAGCAACTGTCCATAAATTACTTTCTTGTATGAAGTGCACCATACAAGTTGACATATAATACAAATCGGGTAATGGAAATATTTCCAAAAATACACAGAAACGAGACAAGTTTTGTTCCCAATACCCGCTGAACATCTTAATAATCAGGAATAATCATTAAAATTACCACAGCTATTTTTAATCGTGATAGTTAAACTAATTATGTAGGTAGTGCTCTTTTATAGAATATTTAAAAGGTCTGAGGTACAATATTTTAATTTTTTATAATAACTTATGTATATAGTTTTTTTTCTGTTTTAATTTTAGTCTGTATTATAAATGTTATTCATATAATCGTTGAGCTATAATATTTTAAATAAAAGCTATAAAAAGAATTAAAAAAAAAAGTGCTATTCAAAATATTGAAACTGAAATATTAAATTTCAAAGAAAATGAATAAAAAGATAAAATCTCTATAAAAAAAAAATGTATTAACTCACTATAAGTAGGTATAAAAAATTCAGTATGAAATGAGTTCCATTGATATGGCGCTTTCATGTGTGGTCCTTGGAAGTCTTTGCTTAAAACATGGAGATGTAACCTATTCATTGATGGATAAGCGTGATATCCAACTCTAGAACACAAGTAACGGTTGTGAGATATGTATAAGAAAAAACTGATCGTTATTAGATATTAGCTTACTGGAATTTATGTGGTGTCATCCCAGTAACACGCATAACGAATTCCAAACCTTTAAGTTCCATATAGATCAGAGTGGGAATGTGATGTTGTTTGAGGCTCCTAACATCCTGTATATTGTCTTTAGGCAACACCAGATAGTGGTGAATAGATTTAGGGAATAAGTCAGCAATTATGGTCACAATATCGTCAGTGTACAATATATTTGTAGGGTTGTTCATAGCTAAAATTAAATTGTTTTTCAACGGGGAATCGTTGAACGGTGCCATAGTCTATAATTAAATTTATAATATTACAATAAATGGTATGCATACGAAATATAATTAATACTATAAGCATAGAGAAACCCTCCCCCTCCCGAGCGTTGTTTCTCAAAATGGTTTAGCCATAGTCTGACAAAGTGTATTTGCATCTGACAAACAACACCGGCGTTTTAGAAGTAATAATTCTGGTACAGTGATGACATTCTTACTGAAACAATACAATAAATCAACATTGTTGTAATTATGATAACAGTAAAAACATATAGTAGCAAGTACAATTAAAAATATTATTACAATGCATCAAACGCCAACTAGAAACACAAACTACTCACTATTGACGAAAATAGTACACACACCACAGGCTAACATACAAAATATAAACGAGTACTAAAATAAGTGGCCACTGTCCACTCCAGACAGCCCAGCCCAGTAGGTCTAACTTCTACTTGTAAGCTGTTAGCTGTTGCCTGTTGTATAGTGTCAAACAGATAATATGATTCTATGTATACAATCAAATAAATTTCCAAGGACTCGTCACATGTGCCTCCCGGGTGAGATAAAAATTGTAAAAATATCAAGGTTACACAAAATAGATAATAGATACCAAGTAAACATAAATTATATTGTAATTTGTAATGTTTAAGACTATTGTTAACGTCCATAATGGCTACTGAGTAACGAGTACTGACTACTAGGCTGATATTAGTAACTATTAAAAGTGATTTGACTATTAACATTTCGATTTCGGAACCGTTGAAAATACACTAAACGGTAAATAACTAATAACATTGATTAATAATACAGTATTATTAATAAAAATGCTAATAATAAGTGTCTGTTGCCCGACTTATTATTATTATTATTACTACCCCACTTGTTATTACTATTTATATTTTATATTAAATCTTGTATAGAATTTGGAAAAACAAAGTAATACACATAAATATGACTTATATAGTCATATTTATATGACTATATAAGTCATATATAGTTCATGAATGATATAAAACAAAAATACTTTGAATACTATTTAAGTAGTATTCTAATAAATACATAACAAGTCGCTATGTAGAGCTAAGTATTTTTAGTAACATTTGGCTTGGGTATCTTAATGAAATACAGCTGTCGTGAAAATATTTTCCATAATCTTATCAGAAAATTTGTAAGTTGACAAGTAACAAATAATAATAAAAATACAACCCGAAAAATCCAGCAGACGTCAATATTGAAACATACAATTTGTACCTTAATATTTAATAAGTTAGAAATTATTATATTTGGTGTAGGTAATATTTATTAAAATTTAAATCTTAGCATAATATTATGATTATAATTTATAAATGTACAGGATATTGAATAATACCTAATAGACTAATTCCACAGTAACTACTAATTACTATATGCGTGCATTAATTACTCATTAACTATCATCAAGGTTACACTGTACACAAAACGTTATAAATATATTTATTGTTTAATATATTGAAATTATACTTAAATTTGTCTTTTTAAACATTTTTTTTACAATTTACTGAAGTATTAACAAGTAACCTACTAAATTACAAAATAAGATTTTATTTAAAATACATAGGTAGCCGGTAGCGGCGGTAGGTATTACTATACCGGTCAAGTATAACAACCCCTGAAGGTACAAAACAAAGACATGTGATGTCAACCACAACTCTGGTAATAACAACCAACGTTATCAGTTCATCGTGATAACGTTATTCATTGTGCGTAGATAGATTCGATGTAGTACTTATTGGGCTGTAGAAATATCTGTGAATAGCTGCAGACAAAGCTCAAATATTATATTGGCTTGCTTGAATCTCATTAATCAGATTAAACACTATTAAAGTCACTTTAACCATGTGCGAACACTTTAAATAAACAGTTTTAACCATTTGGTGTGCGTCGAAGAGCGTGTGCTGTCGCGATGGCTGAAAAGTAAGTTGTTGCTCAACTGCGTGAGGCATTATAAATCATACTAAACCGCAGATAAACAGTGCTTTTAACCCTTATAAACCATTTGATCAGGTTTTGAACACAACCGATGTACTACTGGGCTGTGTTGCAAACACGGTAAACGATAATACAGTAACATAATTATCCATATCATTTGAAAACCTTCATTGTTACATCTTTTGTGTTATGTAATTTTAATGTACAACCTAAATAACATAAAATCACACTTATTTTATGATATCCAATCAGATAATAGATGTATTAGATTTACATCTATAAAACAATTATGACTCAATTAAATAAAGGAAATATATTTAAAGAATAAATCAATTTTATTACATAATATAACTGTATAAGGGAGAAAGAAAGAATGTGAAATAACCTAGTTTTATTGTCTAAAAAATTATTTCTGTTAATTGTTAAATTAGCATAATTTATTATTATTTATAAATCCTATTACTAATAATGATAAGCTAGATACAAATAGAATTTTTTAGCACATATTATTTGGCTGTATTTTGCTGAAAAAATTTTGAGTTTGGAAAAAACATATTTAGTTATGAAAATAGTTTACATTGAGAATTTTCTGACATCATTTATAATATAAACTACAGTAATATTCTACCGGATTATACAATGTTTTTTAATTAATTGAATTTCAGTACAACCTACTATGAAAGCTCAACAGTAGTAGTCATTAATATAAAAATGTATATTGACATGCAGTGCGTGTTTTTGTTAAAATTTATGTTTGTTGATTTTAGGGAAGAATAGTATGTGGTCTTTTTACTGATAAACATAATAGGTACCTATTTATAAAATTGAAAAAATAAAATGTCTATACAGTAAAATAAATAACCTTGGTCGTTTTCATTTATGATGTAAACATGTTAACAGATGTTTTGTACTTCTCTGTTCATATTTAGGGTAACAGAAGAAGTCGTAACGGCAAATCCAGAATCAAAAGAAACCGATGGAGGAGGATGGTGGGACTCGTTATACTCTGCAGCTAGATCCAAGGTATTATTTTATATTTCAACGTAATTTATAGTTAATTAACTCAATCTGGTTAATGGCCATTTTCATTTTAGTCTGCAGAAGTCTTTGAGTCAGTCAAACGAGATCTTGGTGAACTTACAACGATTGTAACTGCAGAAACAAGTAATATTGTTCTAAATACGACCAATGTTGTAAAAGAAACTTTGCAGGTATGTTTTTTTTTTTGAAAAAATATTCTATATTTATTCAAACATATTATACTAGTTACATATTGAGTTGCATTACTCTAGTTGGAGAATCCAGAATCCACTGCAAACACTATGAAAAAGTCCGTGAGCACGTTTTTGGATCAAGTTTCAAGTGCGTTAAACCCACTGCCCGAAGACGACGACGAGGCATTGATGATTGTCGGTAATGGCACAGTTACATTGTCAAGGCTTCAGGTAATAATGTCATTGCGGATTTTTACATTAAACTCTACTTTATTAATATAATTTCATTTATATTTTTTCAGGCACAAATTTATACTTTAGCCAACGATCCAAATACATTTTTATTGGAAATCGATGATCAGCTTTATAAAAGGTACAAAGCTTGGTTGGACTGGGTGCAGAGTGGAGATAGCAGTTTATTGTCCAACGAAAAACTCGACAAGATGTTGGCCGATTGCACTCCTTTAAATGAAAATTACCAAAAATATGTACCAGATACGGTTTCACATGCCGACTTTTGGTATAGATTTCTGTTTCGAAAGGCATTGCTTGAGGACGAAGACGCTAAACATCAACGACAACTGGAGAAAGATAAACAAGAAGCGGAGAAAATAGATTTCACCAAAGGTATTTTTTTTTTAAATTTTATAAGGCATTATTAAGGGTTAAGGTTTGTGTAAATTGCAGAACTAACTCCGTTGTCCGATATAGAACTGTCGGAAAAAGAACAAGAAGAAATATTAAACCAATACGATCAAGAACGAAGAAAATTGTCTACAGAAAAATCTAGCAGCAACGGTTGTCTAGGTAATTACTCGATGATTTACTTAAAAATGTTCGGAAAATAATTACCATAATATAACATATTTTATTTGTGTCTGAAGACTCCAAAAAGGATTCAAAATCAAAACCAGACGACATTCCATCCACAACTTCTTCCGTTACCACATCTAGTTTAGACAAAGGTTAACGATACAATTGATCGAAACAATTTTTTTTTTTTCATAACATTATTTTATGATTAACTCATTTTTTTTCTCTCCATAGATGAATGGGTCAAAGATTTTGATATGGAAGACATTGAACCGCCCAGCCCCAAGTCCTAAAAGTAGAAGTTTTCTAGCGTATTATATTGTAAGATTGTTTAGTTTTTCTACGTACGTGATTATGAATTTAAAACATTTATCTTAACATGCTTTTTTTCTTTTTTTTATATATATTATTATTTTATTTTTAAGTTATATTTTGTTGTTAAATAAATTTTAGATTCTCTAAAAAAAAAAGAATATATATACAGCAATTGTTAATGAAAGGTTTTCATTGTTATTACCGACGTATTCTGAAAGTAAACGGAGGTGAATGTTTGGTCAAATATTAACAGTTACTTTTATTGAAAATATTGAATTGCAAGCAATACACATAATAATATAATAGTATCATCATCTTGTATTTAAATGTAAAGAAAATGTGCAGATGTTTTTATTTAACAGTAAAGTTTAGATTGACTAGAATTATTAATATATACAATTATTGTTATCATCTTATACAAATGCAATATATAATATATATATGTATACAATATTAATCACAGGAATATAGATTTACAAACAAAGACTTAAAAAGAGATCAACAAATAATAATAATAATAGATACTAACAAATGAACTGTAATCTTAAAAAAAAAAAATTGAACTATAATATTTTACTTATTAATGATAGTTATAACAATTCTAATATAATGTGTACATTGTTATACTTAAATATTTTTTTTATAAATAAATAATTGTAAATCAAACAGCGTACATTTCACTAGGCTTTGTAGGCTCGTTAAATTAACCCTGTAGGTTCGCCTAATATGTTCCGTAAGTACAAAAACAACTGATCCCAAACAATAGCCGTATAAAATTATAATTTAACTCGGTTATCGTTGTGACACTTTAACATAGTGTAGCCATTGTGTACAAGGTTAGCGAAATTTCATATTGCAGTAAATTTTTCCATGAAATAATAATTGTGTTAGCAAATAAAATGGTTATTTTATTAAATTATTTAAAGTTTTCATTTTTCATCATTATTAAAAGTTATTAACTTTCCATTACATGTGACTTGCTTCTATTTGAGTTGTATTTTGTGTGATGGTATAATAATAATATTATGTTTGAGGCTAGTAAATAATTTAAAAATCAAAGTATACCTTGTTAAAAACCGAATACGGTATTCGATATTTTAAGTAGATGCTTATACATGTATTATCATATTTTGGCAATATATTTTGTAAAAACACCGGTTGGAGAAATTTCATTAATTTATTATGATGGATTGTTGTGTTTCTAATAGAACAATACAAAATTGAAACGGTCCTACAGTTATTTATTCATAATGGAAATCGTCCATACCTATTCGTGTGATGGCCACTGCAGTTAACTATGAGAATTTACTGTTTATACTTAACTATAGACAAGAAAATGGCATGTTCAACTTTATTTATGCAAACGGGATAGTTTTAAATTGTAATTTCAACAGCTGTTATTAACTGTTATTTACTATCCGTTAATTAAGAAAAAAAAACTATTTACAATATGTAACTATAATATTTTTTATAATAAAATAGTTATGCAAGCTAAAAAGAAACCGGGCAATTAGAGTTGTTTTCTATTAAAATAAAACAAATTATAGAAAACGGTTTTGAACCCCCAAAAAAAAATCAACGTCCCTCGAGAACAGGTGTTATTAACACAATATCACGTGTGTAAGGCAGGTTATGAAACGTGATAGGTTTGTGCATCGTACAAGTGTGTGCTGTTTTAAAATTGGAAATATGTTTCTATAATAAAATATGTATCTGCACATATGGCCCACACCACATTTGCATTATATAGATTTCTATTTTTTTTTTTTTTTTTACAAATATATAGATGTTAATTCATACTGTGCTATTTTTCGGTTTAACTTGGCAAGTGTGGTAAAGTCGGAACGAGCAAAAGATTAATAATTTACACCTACGAATCTAGTTAGGAAATATCTGAGTGATTGTTGGACTTGTTTGGGACACGTTGACAAAAAAAAAAAAATACAACGAGATTTATAGACTAGATTTGCGGTAAAACCAAAATCTTGAGCAAGTCAAAACCGTGTCAAATAATTGTCATTTGAAAAATATGGTTTAGGTACCTTAGAAGTTATAATATTTGTTTTTCTGCGACATAAGTACGGTTTTCAGTAGTTCATTTTTACATTATGTCACAGCTGCATAGGCGTAACACAGTCTCTATCCCACCCCTTCCCCCAATAGTCCAAAGGCTACATTTATAAAAATGTTCCGTATATCCTGTAAACTCGTGTTAAGGTCCTATTTTAATTCCTCAGATATCTCAAACCTTTAGTGTTCCTTGTCGTTTTTGAGTTAGTGAAACGGTTATTAAAAAAATGGACATAATAATCTGGAAAAAAGGCTGCCGAGCTCAAATATTTGTGCAGAACTACAAAATCTGATTATTCTAAGTGGGCGCAATTTTTTGTTTATAAAAATATTATACGTTTGTTTAATAAAACAAACAAGAATAAATAAAATAATAAATGCATTTGCTGAAAAGGATCGCGTAAGTTTAGATTATAATTTACTTATTTGATTAATTTGTTTAATTTTTCAATAAAAAAAATATATATATTTATATATTATGTTTTTCATAAAATATATTTTCCGGTACTTACTTACACAATATGGGGGGGGGGAGCGGGTGAGTGCAAAATTATTTTGAAAATAACAGCTGGGACTGTAGCTCTTCCCCCTCCTAGTTCAAAGACCTAGTTACGCCTATGCATTACTGTAAACAGTGTACACATAATAATAACATGTAGGTACATATTTAGGCTAGAATATATTATACTATTTGAACAGGGTCGTCTTAGGCTATGCAGGGGCTTTAAGGGAGGCCATTTAAGAAAACCAAAAAAAATGTAAATTATATTATTCGGGGCCCCCGTAGGCCGGTTAGAGGGCCCTGGACTTGTGCCCTACGTGCCCTTACAGTAAAGACGTCACTGTGTTTGAAAATTATCATTAACACTGTGTTATCGTTACTTTTCACAATGCAAAACTTTAAATACTTCACAGATACTATTTACATGGCTGGGCGTGCTTACCTAAAATATATAAATACACTATTCTATGTACACAGAACGTTATGTTGGACAACAATACAAGGAGATATGATACGTTGGGAGGGGCTGAGAGGGTTCACTTGGCGGCTGTCGACTTGTCGACGGACGACGGCGGTGGTTGTGCCTGCGAGTCGAGCGGGCTGAGCCTGAACGTTGCGCGGTTACCGGTAGACGCCTCGGCCGACGTGTCTGCGGCCGACGGTGGCTGCTTGTTGGCGGTCTTGGCGGCGGCGGCTGCCGAATGGATGCAGCACGTCTGATGGTGGGTCTCCCAGTCCTTGTGCTGGCAGAACGAGCTGCAGTATTGCGCCGTGTTGCAGCCGCTGCAAGTTTCGTGTGCTTTCCGGCCGCAGTTCCAACAGCTCTGCGCAAAACAATAATATCACTTGATGTCAGTAAACGATACACACGAGACGGACCGCACATGAAAACAACGGAGCATAATCAAAATGAAACGAATACTCTTTAGAAAACACAATACATGAGGCGAAAAGGACCTCTTGTCGCAAAAATCAAATATTCAATTATCGGTCATGTGGGCAAAGTGGACTAATGATTCCAAATTCTGAATATTTTAAGACCAAACCCGTTCTCCTATCTTAAAAATTGGCCGAATTATATTTGCTAACATTTTTTTTCGGAAAATGGAAAATTGTTTGAGAAAAAAACGCTTTAAAGTTTTGAAATGTTGCCAACTTTTTATATTTTTACATACTCAAGGAATGATGACACTCAGAGACTTGACAATATTTCGCTCGGTTCTTACCACGAACAGTTTATGCGGTCATTTTAAGAATTGGACAAATTGTTGGTATTTTTTTCAACCAAATATAAGTGGGCATGTATCAATGAGATTCCAAGTACCAATATGATGATTTGATACACAACCAAACGTATCAACAAATTTTGGTATTTTGTATTTACATATAAAAAAAATATATCAACGCCATTTCTGAAGTTATATGGACTTACTCGATGTGTAGTAAAGCCTACCCTATTGTGGGCAATTGTAAAATATATTTTATTAAGATGTTAAACAATGATGTGTTTTTAATACATTGGTAAAACAAAACATTTTCTTTATTTCTCTCTCTTTTTAGACGTGGTTTTTGTATTTTAGACCAGCTAAAAATAACATAGGTAGCGTGTGTCAATTTTTTTCTCCACCAAACAATAAAACAATTGGCCAACACAAGGGAGATATAGTATTAGAGTGATTGAGTATTTTGGCATCGACACAGTGACATGTTTGTAAAAGTGTTCATAACTAAAAGCGTTACGATTATTACTTATATCGAGAAAACGCTTAATAGCGTCAAATTGTATTTTCGATTGATTGTACGTTTTTATTTGATAACATATCAGTATGTATTATTATTATTATTTACTAGACAGCAAATAATATTAAAATTAATATATATATATAATAAATAGGTAGGTATACGGAATTTTTGTTTTATTAAAAATGTAAATATAATAGTACCTTATGCAAACTATAAAATATATATATAAGTTATACAAATATAGACTGTCAAGTTAGTGGTAGTTATTCGGTATTTTTTTTTTAAAATCGCTTAACGCTTTTGTTACCTATGTTATTTGGTTTTTTGTTGTGTTTTTGACAATCTTTTTTTTTTCTTAACTCAACAACAGTGGAAATATAATAAGTGTCGTTGCTTACGTTGTACTGCGGCATTAGGGACGAAGGAGATATCTGACTCACGGCTGCAGTGGGAACGGTGCTGACGGTGGAACCTGCTAAAGACCTTCCAGCACTGCTAGCAGCCGCCACAGCAACGGCACCGCTTATCTTGGTCCTTTCCATCGCCACCAGCTCTACGATTTTGCTCTCGGCGGTCAACACTATCTTCTGTAATTCGGCCATGGCCTGGAGCTTGATCTCGTTCATGGACTCTTCTGATGAAGAGACAAGAAGACAAACAAAATATAACAAGACATAAGAAGTTACCATATTTTAGAGTTTAAAAAGCACAGGGGAGACGAACAAGAGTAATACGAGAAATCAACCACATATATTATTGGCGGTTGAGGCATCTATTTAAGGACACTGAGTTGCAAATACTGTACTATATCATGTCATTCTCACCGGCTCTTTTCTTGACGCCTTCGATTTTCTCTTCGGTCAAGCGAATTGTCTGCGATAGCACCTCTTCCGTGGATTTTTTCTTGATCCATTCGGGAAAATTGGTTTCGGCCAGTCCCCGTTCCTGCAGGATACCCAGAGCTTTCTTGGTTTTCTCGACCATGCTCAATATACAGTTCAGCATCTGTTCAACATCGGTTTAAGGTTATACTAGGTATTGTTCTATCAGCTATACAATGTGGATTTGAGAGGAGAGATCTAAATAGGAATAATTGTCCCTAATTACCTCTAAATGAATACGGCATGGGTTGAATTATACAATTGGCTCACTAACAGAAATTTAGCCTTTGTCAAAGCTTGATTTCAATTATAAGTTTTCCGATATATTAATACAATTGCGCAGTACTCTAACCTTTCGGACCCTGGTAAACTATAGACACTTGTTGTACATGTTCACGCTATGTTTAGATACTGCACACCACTGAACTCGATGTATAAAAATGTCCACTAGTAGGAGGCTGCCATTTTGTGAACAGTTATTGTTTTGTCCATGATATTAATTATCATGGGGTTTTCTACGATTTATCAAATATATGAAGGGGTTATCATCGCCTAACCAAACATTTTAACATGTATAATGGAAAAGTAACGTGGAATTTTTACTTTCCATGAAACTGGTACACAAAATGACTGCCTCCCAGAGTCCAGTGCTGCACACAAACTACTACTACTACTACTACTTAGCCAGCTGTTTATTAATAATAATATTGAGCAATCGTTGTCCTTACCACGTGTATGTTCTTCCACTCGTCCTCGACGTGGCCGCCCTTGTTGTTCTCTTCGGGATCTCCGTTGCCCCGGATGAGTGGCAACAGCGGCACCACACTGTAGGAGTTTTGCGGCTCCTGGCTGCCCAGATGCGGATGGTGGTACATGAACGGCATGCTGTAGTTGAGATTAGGTCGTTTGATGCACGGCTGCTGGTAGTCCAAGTCCGAGTTGCAACCGTTCTCGAAGTAAACGTTGCTGTCGGCGTAAGGCCGTTTGCTGCTGTTTGTAATGGACATGCTGTTATCCCGGGACGACGGAGACGGTGGCACAGGTTGTGTCAAAGGTTGTGTTTGTATGCGTTCCACTTGGTGGAAAATCTCTGACGGTTCGCTGGGTTGAGAGTCCCTGTCCAAGTAGGCGTTCTCGTGCTGTTTCAGGTACTGCTGGAGAGTCTGTAACAGCGTTTATTAGCTGTATACAAGTACCGTTCAAACACCGTCGAGGGGAGGATAGCTTAGACAATTAAATACGGAATGAAATGAGTTGAAAAGGGGATTGTTACAGAAAAATCTGATTTTAATAAATATATATGTTCAAGAAATGGCGTGACAAGCAAATGGAAGAACACAATTGCTTGTATCGAAGCAGCATAGGCAAATACCTACAAGGATGCATAATTTTATAGTAATGTTTGATAAGTCAAGACTCAATGTGTATACCGGACTTGTCTATCTATGTCTATATAATATACACGTCACCGTTGCTTTAATAGTGCACAATGACGTATCGGCAGAGAAAATATGTAATGTGAAAAGTTTTACCATAAAGTATGAATAAGCGAGACTTTTGTAGTATTAAACTGTAAACTATAAGACGTCTCGTGGGTGCACGCCTTTGAGACCAAATCGATTTTCTTGTTCGACACACGTGTCGTCGAGAACAAAACACGCGGTGCAATTACTTTTGTAATATTTCAACGGAATACCGACCAGGCGGCAATGGGCGAGACTTGCTATATACTTTGGTCGAACACCATTTCTAAGATATATACTTATAAATGAATACAGTTAGGTGAAAAAAAAAACATAAATAGGTAGATAGGTATGGTTAAATTCAGCTTCTACTAAATAAATTGTGTCCAGCAAAATATGCTAAATATGCTAAAGTTTTACTTCAGAGTGAAATTAATTGTTTTTTTTCTCTTTTCAATGTGTACATTTATGTCAATGTATGGACTTACATTATGCATAGTGTTCTGTATTCACATATACTTATTTATATATAAACTTATTGAATTTCGTTTTGATTTCTAAAGCTTCGAATCCACCCCGCAAATAAAAGCAATCTTATTAAAAGAATCTAGTATGCTTACACAAGCATTTCTGATAACATTAGATTTCCAGGTAACTGGAATATGTATTTAAAGGATTTTACGAATTTATGTAAAAAAAGGGTACATTTTTAGAACTAAAATACTATTTTTCTGCAAACGATGACTGTTTAAATTCAACGTTTTTAGTTATTATTTTGAAAATTAGCTCGATTTTCCGTGGAACTTTTATCGAACTGTTTTTTTAGTTTAAATAATTTACAAGACAAGTTAAATTTGTTTCAATATGGTTAATTATAGTTAATATGTTTTATGAACTATGTATATGTTAAGATTGACATGTTTTATTTTTATATAAAAATAAACTTTAAAATTGTGATGTGCGGTAGAAATAAAAAATGAACTATCCTCTAAGCCTATATAGTTCTGGAATCTGGTGTGTGTATATATCAAATAATAATATAACTTAACGATATATTCGTTTAGCGAGGGATGTTTTGGATACGGATAGACATATTGCGGTTTCAAAAGCTTACAGTACCGTCTGGGCAAAGGGGTTGCGGTGCTTAAGCCGTCAGCAGCTTTAGTTTTGCCGTCCAGGAAACAGCGGGCAGAGGAGGTCGCACGTGGTGGGACTTGGACGGGTCTCGCACGCATAAACTCTGACCGGTCGGTCGGACGGAATTCATCACAAGTGGTGCACCGGCAAAGGCGACGGCTGTTGCCGCAACACATGGGGCCGGTATAATGGACGACGACGCAACACATTAAAGGTTCATTCGCCTACCTTCTCTCCCTACAAAGGGGTGGACCCCGATGAGCGTCTAGGTTTTTGATTTTGATTTGATTTCACCCGGAAAGAAAGCCATTAGGAAATTGTCTTTAAACGGAATTGGCATTTAAAAGGTATTGGCAGCTAATTACTTGTTATTGGATAATATGCTTATTGTATCAGCTTGTCAATGTCATGTCATAGTTTAGAAAAAAAATAAATAAAGAAAGACTATAGTGGGACAGAAAACCGAAAACATATTTTAGAATCACTTTTTTTTTAACTACCCCATCTATAATGCCCCATTAGGACGCATTTGTTCTTAAGGCAATAAGGCGCTAAATAAACAGTGGCAAAAATGTAAATACGCCTCCGAGTGCAACATATACCGAATGTTACACTCAGCTGTTTGTTTAACATGGTTTATATGTTTTGTTTAACCTTCGTGTTGTCCGGAATACTTAAAAACGGCCGCCGAAAACTTATGCGATAAAATACAAGCATAAACAAAGTACACCCACCTGTTTATTGTTGCGAGCCAACGAGTTGAGTTCACGTTGGAAAGAAGGTATGTGAGTTCTCAAAAACGGAAGCACAAACGGCTTAAGAGGGAAATTGGTCATTTCTTGCAGATTGTGATGGAATTCTTCGACGCTGATCAAATTGCTCTGTAAGAGAAAAAAAATGTCAATATAAGCACATGTCTTAGGAGTGACAAATCAGTAATTATATATTAGCTTAGCAAACTTTAAAAATAAATAACATTACCGACATTGTTATTTTGAATTAATTATTTTTCTTAGTTGTATCTTAAAACCAAATGAATTTACAGGGATAAGAAAATGTTGCGACTTAAACCGTTGCACTGTATAGGAAAACTAACGTAGGTACTACACACTTGTTTTTTTAAAAGCAAATACCAGCTTCAAAATTGTACAGCTGAATTTTTCTCGAACAAATTAATATTTTTGTCAGTATTTTTAGAATTTATTAAATTGTAAATTTCTAAATATTTAATCATCGAGTTTCGGTTTAGGTTGATGTATGAAAATTTCAAAGGTTAACGATGAGACTTTGAAGAAAAAAAAATTGTTTAATTTACTTATTTACTTTACTCGAAACCCTAAAAACAACCATTTGCGTTTTAAGTAGATTTATTTGAAAATTTCGAGTTTTGGAAAATTGAGTTTTCATCTTAACTCTGTTTCTTATGTCAGGCTAATATCAGTCTTCAAGACCGTCAATGATACCTATCATGAACCGATCATTCTTAGCTGTTACCCAGCTAATTATTGTATGTGCATTTTACTTGTACCTACACACTTGTATTTTAGGGGATACCGTTATTAACAAGATTCGCAATCTTTTAAGTTTTTAGTTGTTTTAGATATGTTGTACTCACCACTAAATTGAAAATCTGAACCTTGACCCGATCGCTCATCTGCAACGATAATTGTCCACTGAACTGGACCAACGTGGTCAGAAATCGTTTAAGCTTATTATGATTCCTGAACGCGTTGTTCTCGGACGGAGGACTGCCGCCTATAACACAAGCCTGAATTGTAGGTATGCCAACAAATGGTGTAGCAGATCCGAAAGAACTTCGTGAACAATTTAAGTACAAACACACAACTCAATTATGCAAATGCTCGAACAAAATTTTATTTGTGCTAAAACACAATGTGTAGCAGCATAACAATAAATTTCTAACGAGGTGTGTTCTGATATTGACTTATTTTTTTAACCGATTCGCTTTTTTTATTTTTATTATTAAATTCTGTTCAAAACGATAAAACAGTTTTAATACAGAAGCGAAGAAAGAATTCATATATTTTGACAGTAACATTGTGTTTCAGTAGTTTGTTCATATTTTGTGTTAGGGTATTATTGTTACAATACAATTCATAAAAAACCAAACAATATTGATAAACTCTACTGAAATAATTTATGATTAATAATTTCATTTACGCTTTATGCAATTTAAATGTAGCTGAAATATATAGTTTAGAAAGTTTTTAAATATTTAAGTTTTATAATTAGAGTAAAACCAGTTTAAAACAGCTTCACACCTAACCTAACCTAACCTAACCTAACCTAACCTAATCTAACCGACATAATATGTTTTAAAATATATTTCAATAGAAGTCATAGTTAACTCGTTAAGCGTGTGTGGCTAAGCTTTTGCGGTTTGCTGGTCTATTTTCTATTAAATATTGCAGTCAATAAAAAGGTTAATTACAGGAAAAATCCACGTTTGTCTTTAACTCAAGTCTGGGTTGTACAAATAGCCCAATTTTGTCAATTTTTACCAGTTTATTTTAAAAAATTTGTCTAAAAAACCTGATACTTAACATATAATTGATACTCACTCTCCGGTTCGATGTCGTTGAGGCCACATCCGACGGGTTGGAGCGACGGGCTGAGCAACTGATCGCCGCCGGACGATTCGGTAGTGGAATTTGTCGACGAGAAACCGACGTTTTCTTTGGATTTGATTTTAGATTTACCTGGAGAAGACAAAAAAAGGAAAAATGAAAAAATACCGGCTAACCGTTTAACAATTGCTAAACGTAGGTATATAGATAATGTGATATTATAATAATAGTAGGACACAACGACAAATCCGTCATATTATAACAAAACAAGAGGCCTTTTTAAACGACGGTGGCGGCCGGCAGTTCACGGACAGGGTTTAGAGGAAATATAATAATATATATTACACACACACATACAAAGCCTTACCAAAAGCCACGGTTTTACCCGCCCAGTACGTGTCCGAGTGTTCGTGACACGTCCATTAGCGGAATTCAGTTGTGTCATACACATAAACACACCGCCGCCGCCACTGGCTGCCACCGACACCACCAGCGCCGGTGCCGTTTTCTGGGAGTTATTAGTTTTGGCTGCAACTTCTGCGGTTGATGTACCACCGTGGCCGCCGCCGCCGTTGGATCCGACGAGGAGAAGAGAACGTATATTTTATACTATATATATAAATATAATAATATAATATGTTATTTGTACCCCGAGGCGGCCCGGGTTAAGTTCCAACGACGACCGGTTTGGAAATTTTGAAAAATAAAAACCATTTTTTTCAAAAATACAATATTTAGCCTGTGTGTTCTTTGAGTCGTCTTTAAGAAACGAGTATGGCCGTTTAGATACAAGTGCAATTGGTCGATGAATTGTTCGGTATAAGAAGTTTGCTATGTATCTGAGACTTTAGCTCATAATTACCCAGACAGTGCGAAAATTCCAAACTCTTCGATTTTTATAATATCTGAAGAATATCTTGTAGGCAACAACTTTAGGCTCACAATATATTTACAAAATATTCAATAAAAAATTGGAATAATATTCTAAAGACATTTGAACTTATGCGCTGAACTGAATATTACTATAGCACGCTGTGTTAATTTCTATTGGTTTTAAGAAACCATTTACACGACGAAACATAACGTTATATTCGATAAAAATGTAGACTACTTTGATAAAATATATACTTTATTGGTTTATTGACCCCATAAAATATATTTTATTAGCGTAAGTTTGTCTGTTTATCAATTTAATATAATTTATATCAGAGTAATAATTACTTCATATATAAACAAGGGTTGACTTGGATTAAATAAGGGTTGACAAATTGACATTTATTTTAAATTGGTTATTTTTTTTCGTCGTGTGTGTGAATTTTTTACTCATAAAATATTATCGTCATTAAATTGACTAATTATTTTTAGTATTTTTTTTTTTTTTTTAATATAAATTTTATAAACTAACAAAAATCTGATACGCGAATTTATATTATTTTATTCTGTCCAAAATTTAATAATTTATCCAAATCTGCGATCCACCGATGTGACATGTTATTTTGACTGGGCAGCAATTTATGGACTAATTTCAACTATAATTTTTTTTTTTTTGGCAAAAAAGGGAAAGGTGATCCTATTTCTCGCACAAAAGAAACGTTTGCCGGAACCAAAACGGGCTAAGGGGCACAGGTGTCTGCGGATTACCGGGCAAGCGATTCTCACTTACCACCACTGTCTTCTCTCTCTCCTGTTTTTCAAAAGATCACGAGTATCATATTTCATTCGGAATACACGTTGGTTTCCTACACTTTAACTATACACCCGTCGGCTTAAATGACACTAACCGTTTGTACTTGCGTGGGAGGACCTTGTCATGATTTGTCACCACACAAAATCCCTGCAAGAATTTAATCAGTTTACACTGTGTAGGCGTTTTGAGAATTTACAACGTTAATAATTCAACAGCTTCAGAAATCGTTTCGGCGCGTTCAAAAAATTGCATTCACATTATATTTGTTCGGAAGCGGTTTTAAGTGTTATAGTTATAAAATGTATTGAGTGTAGCTTTTTTAAGTTTAAGGGTTGCTAATAAAATGTTTTGTAAATGAAGGTTGAAATAAAACCTAGGCCTTTGGCTTGGCATCCTTTACAGATGTGCGTAACGCTACTTTTGAGTCGACCTTGTACAATGTCTATTTGTATTTACTTTTACGGTTGAACTATCTTATAAGTACATATAAAAGTTCTAATACTATAGTAGGTAGCTAAACCCATACATGAACTGAAGCGATCACTTCGTATACAAATAGAGGTTGATAAGTTAAGACTAAGCATCGCTATAAGGTTAAACGGACAAAATCCGTTTAACGGTATTTGGATACAGGGTGTTAAAGTCTGAATTTGCTTCACTTAAAATGATGTGTCACTTAACGCCACTTGTACTAAATGAATAAAAGAAGTGTTGGAGGGTATTTATTTTAAATTAAACTTTAAAAGTTTGTTTGATAATTAACTATTTTAATTATAAAATATTTTTAGTTAAGCATTAAATAATCCCAAATCATTTTTACTGATATAAAAGTTGACTTTTTAATCATGAATAATTTTATAGGTCATTAAAATCAAAATTATTCAAGATTAAAGAGTTATAACTTTATAGTAATAATAATATTATTTGTATTTTAATTTTTTAATATTATTTATAGAAGTAAACAAATAATACTGTGATAATCTTTAACCGAATATTTTTTAAAAAGTCAAATTATAAAAGAGAACAATTTTAAGAAAATCTGCTGAGTGGATTTGCTTAAATTTATATTCTCGCATTTTAATAAAATTATATTATTATTTATTGAATTATGATATTCCTACATATTTGATAAAGATTGGGTTAGATTACTACTTAGGCTTAGGCTCATCACTTATGTTGTGTCTTCTGCTAGACAGTAAGTATTTAAATTTGCATACTTATAAAAAAAATCACAGACAATAGTTAAATTTACCATTAATAAATAGTTATTTTAACCGCTATTAAATGGATAAATTAAATTGATAATGAAATAATAATAGTATGTTAACTTTGTATTAGAACAGGTAGTTTGAATAAAATGAATTAAAATAATGTCCAACTCTGTTTTATAGTAAGTTTTGTCCAGACTACAGGCGCGTTTAATATTATTTATTAAGTCTATATAAGATTTATCCAAGACATGCTAATGGATTCAATTCATTGGAGTAAACCTACCGAAATTTTTACTCAAACCAGACGAGGACCATAGTGTTATATTATGAGTCATGAGTCATGACACATTACCCAGGCTGATGAACACTCAATACACTTGTCTTGGAATGTAAGTATGCCTGTATGATAAGTATTACTGCGTTAACACATGCGCGTTTGTTTTACAAACTCAAAAGTTGTGTAAATATTAATGTTTTTTTTTTTGTAATATTTTTGCATTTGGAGCAGGTGTATACCACATTGTACAAGACGACCTGGCGTACGTCTTGGAAACGCCGCCGGGTTGTTCAAAAAGAAAATGCTGTACATTGTCTAATACATGAGCTAATAGGCGCAATTATTACATTATGTGTACACAGGTGTCGCACAGTATTTTGTCAAATGCATTTTTTTTTTTTTTTGGTTGGGTTTGGTTTAGATACTTTTTATACTTATGTACTTTTTATCGTTCAATACTTGTATGATATAAAAAAAAAATCTGTATTATTTCATTGTTACTCAATGTAGCTCACTAAAATCGCTTGGTCTACAAAAAATTAAATTATAGAAAATGAAGGTTGGTAGAACTGAATATTTTTTTATACTCATTTGTTTTCCAATATCAACAAGATGAGTGTAACCACGTAAAATAAAACGTTAATTTTCGGACGTACAGTTTTAATAAATGCCATATTTTTTGAGAACATTTTTCAAAAACTAGACTTAAAAGTTGGAAGGTGAAAGCCCAATTTTTTGATATTAAATTTCAGCAGGGCACACTTTGTGCGATACAAAAAAAAAATGGTAATTTATGTATTATTACTTTAAAAAATGTTCCATCAAGGACATAGGTATCTAAATTCCAAAAAATAAAAAAACAACTAGAAGTGTAATAACTTTTCCTTGAGTTTGAATGTACACTGAATAAGACAGTAAAAAAAAAAAAATGGCTATTTTTTTAAATGGAAAATACTAACAAAGGTAAATATTTAGTAATTTTATAATATTGTAATCTAACAAAAACAAAAATTTATTCACAAAGAAAAACTCTAAAAATTGCAATTATTTTAGGAGAAAACTAGTGTCTATCCATAATGAATCGCCCTGTATAGTCATAAAAGCTTTAAAGCTTAAATGTTTCAAAAATATCGACCAGGATAAAAGTCGTCGCCTGTGTCAAAACAGTATAATATGACATTCAACAAAACTGAGATATTCATCTGTTCTCGTCCTAAACATGTTGATCGTACATTTTGAAATTCAAGCAGCATTATGTGGATACTACAATAAGTTTTAAAAAAAAAAAATATATATATATGTATGTATGTATGTATATTGTATACGCACTAATTGTGTATTTATAGTGCACAATAGTTGTGTATTTATCGTTGTAAATATGAATTGTGGTGTAATAATAGTAAAAACAATAACGATAAAAATATTAGTAATAAATTATTTTTCTTGAGTAAGATAAGTGTTCTGCATCTGCACGATAGGAACTATTGTTTTTTATTTTTACAGACAAAAAAACTATAAGTTTTTTGTGCAGGTGTTATAAAAATTTAAGTCGAATCTTATTGCATAGTTCTGAAAACTAAATAACTATTTGACTATAATCACCCGACGGTTAGGTTAGGCCGTAGTGCAGTTTTAGACCAACGAGGCACCCCCTTTTTTTTTAGACAACACACATTTATATAAAACATGGCATCCTTGAATATGAAACTGGCATATTTTGGTCTGTTCTCGTCCCAAACACACGTTGATGGTACGGTTTGGAAATTTCAAAAACAGCATTACGTCGTGAAATGTGAACTCTACAGCTCACCACTAATCGAAACTTTAAGCCACGAAGGGATTTCGAGATGAGGTGACGTGCATCAGACGAGATAAGAACGAAAACGTGCTTACGGTGTCGGTCAGGAGCACTCGAAGGGGATCACTGGGGTTTGTTTATTTTTCTAATGGCCGAGAC